GCACGGGACGACTAACAGTAAGCACGAGACATAAGCACCACAAGACGAACACCGCACAGTGCGCGGCCAGCAAATGCTCGGTGGGGGAGCAGGGCGCGAGAATGGGGGGAGGGTGGCATGCAAGGCAGTAGAAAAGAAGAAAAGAAGGTAGGAGGGCAGGGAGGCTGAGAGGGGTGGGGTTGCATCGATGAGCAAGCGAGAGGCTGGTTGCCTGCCATGTCCTTCTGCAAAACAGCGGCAATGTGCCGGCTGCAGCGGAGCTATGCGGCACCTGCCGCGGCGGCAGGCGCCGGGAGGAGGAGCCGGGATTGACAAGGCCCTCCTGGCACAGGTGGCGGCCCTAGATGAGGCGTGGGACACGACAGGCCGGGATGGCAGCCCCCTAGGCAGACTCTGGCGGGCGCATGCTACAGTTAGCTAGCCGTCTAGTGGTTGTGGCCGAATGGCAGGGTGAAGGGCAGCTCCACGCCAAAGCCGCCCAGCAGCATGGTGAGCCCCAGCCCCAGGGCGGCACACGAGGCAAAGCCGCTCAGCTTCTGCGTCAGCCCGCTGTTGCTCTTCTTGATGGCGGCGCTGGTGGCGCCTGCGGGCGCGGCGCACGGGTGGGAGGTCGGAAAAGGGCAACCGTGCAGCACCTCCTTTCCTCATGAATGGCAGAAGCAGCTGGCTGGCGGCCGAGCAACCCATCGCCACCTCGCTCTGCCCCCTGCAGATGCACGCACCGATGATGCCTGTGTAGGCTCCCATGGCTGCCACGGTGCCCAGCACAAACATGAGGATGTAGGCCGCGGCGGCCAGCTTGGTGGGCAGCGCCAGCGCTGGCACAATCACAAACAGGGCGTCGGGCTGCGGGGGTTGCAGGGGAGGCGCGCGGGGGGTGGGTGGGGGTCAGGCACAGGCAGTGGCTTGAGCCGCCCAATACACATGCAAGCCTTGTTATAACCAGCACCGTCGCTCGCACTGCCACCACCACCATCATACAACGCAAACACGTGCCGCACACGAACAAACCCACACCAAGATGTACGCACCTGCAGGCCGTACACAATGCCGGTGGCAAAGGTGGCCAGCCCAAAGCCGCCCCGCTCCTTCTTGGCCACCAGCACCCCGCCCTGCATCTCCATGCCTGCACACACGGCGCGGGGAGGACAGCGAGGGTCAGTCAGCTGTCACAGGCACGCAGGCGCGCCAGTGGACAGCTGAGTCGTGCCGCCAATCCAACCGGCGCCAGCACCACGTGCGCACAGCACAGCACAGCACAGCACAGCACAGCACAGCACAGCACAGCACAGCGCAGCCCACCCGTCAGTGCCTCCGCGGTGGGGTCGCTCTCCACGTGCGCCGCCTCGTCGTTGTGCTCGAAGAAAGTCTCGTAGAGGCCCATGGCGCCAATGGCCAGCAGCGTGAGCCCCACCGTGGCGCCGCCCCACTTGGACAGCGCGGGCACCAGCTGCAGGCAGGCAGGGCATGGGTTAGCTGGTTCAACGGTTTGTAATAATGAGTGAGAGCCAAAGATGGCTATGTGGAGAACAGCTGCCCAGGCTCCCGGCCCCGGCTCTGCGGCGGCCGCAGCGTTGCCGCGTGGCCCTGGTGCCAATCCGCACACATTGCAGGCAGGCAGGCCGCGCGTGCTGGCCGCGTGCCTGCTGGAAGCGGTCCTTGAGCACCACCATGAGGAGGCCCAGGATGAGCTGGCCGGTGGAGTGGCCAAAGCCCCACAGCGCGCCCAGCAGGGAGGCCTTGAGCTGGCTGCGCCCGATGGTCAGAGGCGTGAGCGCCGCCAGGTGGTCCGCGCCAGCCAGCGTGTGCAGGCAGCCCGCCGCCAGGCCCGCCCACGCGCTGCGCACCGCGGTGCGCAGGCCTGCGGCGGGGAGCGAGGAACGGCGTGGTGAGGGGCAGATCGCGGCAAGGGTGGGCGTTGCCTGTGCATGCATGTGCGACGGCGCCTGCCTGCAATGCGTCCCCGGTGGGGTCCCAAGGCAGGGCACCCATGCCACAGATGCGATGCCGGCAGGCGCCCTCTCGGCTTTCAAGCCCTCGCACCTTCGTTGGCCGGCGCCGCTGCCGCGAGGCCCAGCGAGGCAAAGGGACCCTGCAGGGCGCTGGCCAGCTGGTACCACACTACAAAGGCTGCTGCTGCACCCACCACCTGCAACGCCCTGGCTGCCCAGCGCGGCACCAGCTGCCGCGGCGGCTTGGCTGCGGGCGGCGGGCCTGCTGCGGGCGGCGCCAGGGCGCGGGCATCACCGCCGGCGGGCGCCGGTGCCGCTGCGCAGCTGGCGCTGCACTGCGGGGGGCTGCTGCTGCTGCTGCGCAGGCCGATGGGGCGCTGCCGTGCCCGCCATGCACAGAAGTTGGGAGCTGAGGTGGCCCAGTTTATCCTGCGTGCCGGAGGGCCGCTCACAGCGCGGGCTTGCATGCCATGTTGCTGCGCCAGCCCGCACTGCATGCTGCCGCGCGCGCCTAGCTGCACCCCTCTCCTTCGATAGCACGAGGCTCAACCGGTGACGGTGGACCTCAATACAGAGCCTCGATGTGCCAGGAGGCAATCAAAGCAAAATGTGCCTCTGGGGGCAGGCGCCACAAGGAGAAATAGAGGCCCCAGCAGTACACCCATGCCAAGAGAGGACGGGTGCTCCCCTGGGCCTTCAAGCGGCTATGCCTTACGCTTCATTGCCCGGTTTGATCTTGGCGTCTCCAGCCTGATAGGACGCACATTGCGGCCCACACTGATCGGCAGCACCTGGTGTAGGCTTTTTGCAGCGCTAGGGCTGTCGCATCGCGGCGCCAGCGGCCTGATTGCCCTGCCCACGGGTTGCCGGGCGAGATGGCGGACGGCGACAAGGTGCGCTGCTTCTTACTCCCTCCTGCGGCTGGCTTGCAGCTTGCAGCAGGCCCTGAGACTTCAGAGAGCGTTCTGGCAGGGCGTGGCGGAACACCCCCAGCCCTCCGCCCCCCGCCGGCGGCGCACCCCGCTGCCGCCCGCCTGCTGCACCACGCTGCCGCCCGCCTCCTGCCGTGCTGTATTCAGGACAAGAAGGGGCCGGAGAAGCGGGGAGGGCCGGAGTGGAACGTGCGCATCTCGTCCAACCCCAACCGGCTGCGCCGCGACACCGCCTTCCTCTGCAACATCCGCTTCAAGAACGACCTGCCAGAGGTGATCAGGGCGGCCGAGAGAGGGCGTGGGTGGGCACGCAAGGCTGGGAAGGCAAGGGTGGGGAGGCACAGCGACAGCGACTGTCTAGCGCTCTGGCCTGTCGGCAGCCGCCGGGCTTCCGTTACCCCTGCCCCTGCCCCCGCACTCCCACCACCGCGCTGCCTGCCCCGTTCCTTGGCCACCACCCCTTGCCGTCCGGCACGATGCCCCTCTGCCAAAGCGACGCCCCTCTGCCAAAGCGACGCCCCTCTGCCACAACAGCGCCCCTCTGCCGCGCCCGCAGATCCCCTGCGACCCCAAGCTGCTGCTGCCGCCATACGATCGGGACCAGCTGGCCGCCTTCAAGCTGACGGAGCTGGAGAGGGATCTGAGGAAGGACCTGATGTTTGAGGACGACCTGGGCATCCCCATCCACCCCTGGAACATAGAGCAGTACAGCGTGCCGGAGGTCGTACCGCCGCTGCACCCAGACGACGCCGCACTGGTGGAGGTACGCGGCTTGTGTGTGTGTGTTTGCGTGCTTCGTTTATCTGGGGATGTGTGTGTGTGCGTGTGTGTGTGTGGGCGTGTGGCAGGGAGGCAGCCGGCTGCTGCCGCTGGTCTTGCCGGCGCTCCGGCTGCCGCCGCCGCTGCCGCTGCCAGCCTGCCTTCCCCTGCCTGCCCCTCCACCCTCCGGCAGCCCGTCCCCCCCCCCGCGTTGGCCACTGCCACCCCGGCGTGCCGCCATTCATGTGGCCACCACCCCATCTTCGCCGCCCCACCCCGCCCGCAGAGCGATGAGGAGGCGGAACCCAAGAAGGCGCGACTGCGGGGCGACGCCGCCGAGCTCTCCTGGCTGCTGCGTACTAAGTACATCGCGGCAGAGGCGGGCCTGAAGCGCGGCACAGGCGCCCCCGCCAAGGCCGCGGCGGCCGCGGCGACGGCGGCCGCGGCGGGGGCGGAGAACGAGGACCCCCGCGAGGAGCGCATTCGCCAGATCGAGGCGCAGTTTGTGGGGGCCAAGGCGCCGCTGGCGCACGGCAAGGATCCGTCGGTGGTGCCGCTGGAAGTGATGCCAGGTGGGGCCCCGCCCGGCCCCGAGTCAGCCAGTCCGGTCCGGCCGGGCAAGCGCCGCGCCGCATTCGTCGGGCTGCCGCAACCAAGCGCTGGCGCCTGGCCCAGCGCGCTTCCTGCCATCGCCTGCCTGCGGCGCGACCATTTTGGTGGCAGAGACGTCCCCGCCTCCCTGGGCGTCGCCTCGCCGCCCTGCCCTGTGCCCTCCGCTCCCACTGCCCTGCTGCCTGCTCACCTCTGGGGCCGCCATCTGCACTGCCCCACCTCCTCCTCCTCGCCCGCATACACACGAGGCCACCGCTGCCTGCCAACCTCCGCCGCCGCGCCCTGCTGCCGCAGTCTTCCCCGACTCGCTGATGGAGGGCCGCTCCTGCGTGTTGGCCACCTTTGACAACGATCCGCTGGCCGACGTTGACGTTGTGGAGCGGATGCCGGCAGAGCAGCGGGCGCGAGTGCCGCAGGTGGGCTGGGAGGAGCAGAGGAGAAAAGAGCAAGGGGCGGCAGGGGGTGCACGGCGCGGCGGGCTGGGGAGAGGGAGGGGCGCCGGCGGCGGCACACGCCCACCATGCGCGCCCTGTCATCGCTGCACCGCGCTGCGCTGTGGTTGTGCTCTGGTTGTGCTGCCGCGTGCCCCCTGCACCACCCGACCGCCCCGCTGCCGGCGCTGCTGCGTTGTACCGCTGTGCTGTGCTGTGCTGTACCGCAGGCCATGCAGCTCAAGTCGTTCAAGCCCGCCACCGGGCCCCAGTTTGTGGCACTGCTGGTGCCCAAGAAGCTGCCAGAGGCTGGGTGGGTGGGGCGGGGCGCTGCACTCCCGCCGTGCCGCGCGCCCGCCTGCCGCCGTGCTGCTGTGCTGCAGGGCAGCGTGCTGGCACCTTCCCTTTCCACAAACCCCTCAGCCTCTACCTGATGCCCCCCACTAACTGCTGCAATCTCCCCTACCCCTCCTCCTCCCCGCCTGCAGCGACGACGAGCTGAGCGCCTCGGGCGGCATCCCCGGCCCGCAGCTGGCCCGGGAGTATCATTGGGTGCGGGAGTACCAGCCCCACCCCCGCCTGGACGAGAAGTGTGAGCACTGGGGGCCTGGCTGCCTGCATGGACGCTGCTACAGATCCCCTCGCACGATGCCCCACCACCACAACAACACATGCATGCACACGTGGCGATTTGCTCGCATGTCCGGCCCACCACGTCCCCTCCCTGTCCCCCCCCCCCTGCCCCCCAACCGCAGCCACCACCTACCTGTTCCGCTTTGCGGGGGACGGCACCGTTCAGTTCCACGACCTCAACACGCGGCTGGAGCTGCGCAAGCGCAAGCGCCAGGCGGCGGCGGGCGAGGATGACGAGGGCTTCATGCAGCCGGAGATGGTGGGTGGCTTGCGTGTGTGTGAGTGTGTGTGTGGCTTGCGTGTGTGCGGTTTGTGTGTATGTGTGTGTGTTTCCATGTATGTGTGGGATGGAACCGGAGAGCTGTGGTGGCCTTGGGGCAATGGAGGCAGGCCGGGGATGCGGCGTGCGGCGCGTTGGATGGACGACCGTGGCACCCAGCCCCATGGGCCGACCCTGAATCCCTGCTGTACCGCCGCAGGTGGTGGTGCGGGACCCAGAGACGGGGGACTGGGCGGAGCAGCGGGAGGCGCGGGAGCGGGCGCAAAATGGCGCTGCCGCCAGCTCGGAAGAGTACGGGCAGCAGCAGCAGCAGGAGCAGCAGGAGCAGCAGCAGCAGGAGGAGGAGGATGGGGGGGGAGGAGCCGGCGCTGGTGCTGGCGGCGGCGGCAGCGATGCAGAGATGGCAGATGCGGGAGGGGACGGCCAGGGGGGTAGCAGGGAGCGGCAGGGGGAGGAGGAGTATGGGGGCAGGGCGGATGCCAACGCCGCGCTACGAGACGTGTTTGGGGATGATGACGATGACATCTAGCTGGCGCCAGCGGGGCGGGGCATTCTTTCCAGCTGGCACCACCTTCGCGTCTCCTCAAATGCTTCCTGGCTGCCCCGGCAGCGTGTCGTTGTCTCGCCAGCGCCCCGTGATTCAATGTAAGGAAGTCTATTGATGCGAGCAACAGCGAGCGGTGCGGTGCGGGCTTCACCCTAGCACAAGGATGCATCAGCCGGCAGCTTTGCGCCGCTTTGTGCTGCTTGGCTCGTTACAGGCTGATTATGCTTATTGGCAGCAGCCAGTCGGTCACTCCAAACACAGGCAGGAACGGCCTTCACAAATGAGTGCAGGCCTCCACGCTCAAAACGGCTCTGTTTGGAAGGGCAGGCCGCGTGGATGTGGCGGCGCCCAACCATCTCCCACGCTCGAGCTCCACTCAGCCTCCCTCCGACTCCTCTCAGTGGCACTTGGCTTCACTGAAAAATCCCAGCAGCTGACCAGCAGCTATTGCCACGTCAGTGCTGCCACCTCAGAGCCGCCAGGTCATCAGTACCCGATCGACTTCCACCCCTTCTTCTGCAGCTCCAGCCGGATCGCCTTAATGCGCTTGCGGTTGGCGTTGCCGTCCGACTCGCCCACGCGGGACGCAGACCTGCGGGGGCGCCAGCGGCGGCAGGCCAGGGCATGTGAGCGGGCACAGCGCTCGGCGTGTGAGCAGGCAGAGCGCCCGGTGTATGGGGCTGGGTCTGCCCCGGCACATCGCTCGGCGTGTGGGGCTGGGCCGGCCCCTGCTGGACTGAAACGGGTTGTTTAAGCAAATTCAGCTCAGCTGCTTCCGTCCCTTTGGGTGTGTTGGAACCCGGCCTCACCGGTACTCCACAATGCCAGGCTTGTCGGGGGGGAAGAAGAACTCCACGTCGTCGATGAAGCCAAAGGTGGGGCTCTGGAGAGGGGCAGGAGCGCAAGGGCAGGGCCTGAGCATCAGCACAGTGGCGAGGCGTCGGCCGCAATCCACTGATCCCGCTGCCACACACACAAACCAACAACACACACACATACGCACACAGCCCCACCCCCCCACCTGGAACTCTGCATACAGGTAGTCATCTGTCTTTGTGACGACGGTGGGGGTGAAGTTGTCTGGAGTGATGGTGGCAACCACCTGCAGGCAGGCAGCAGGCAGTGGCAGTGGCAGTGGCGCCAGGCAGCCGGCAGAAGCACGAGTCGGCAGCGCAGGAGACGGCCAGGCCGCACGCGGTCGAGCGGTGCCGGCAGCGCTAGGAGCCCTAGCTGCGTGCAGGCGGCGGCTGCGGCACGGCCAGCGGGCCAGCCCCGCACCTCTGCCAGCTCAGCCATGGCCTGCTCCTTGGTGGCCGGGTTCTTGCGGCCGCGCCCCTCCTCGGGGTTGTAGGTCCTGCGGAGTGGCGGCCATGCAGCGGCGGCAGAAGGCAGAGGGGCGCTCAGCAGCAGCAGCAGCAGCAGCGGCGGCGGCAGCAGCGGCAGCAGCAGCGGCAGGGCCTCTGATCTGTGGGCCACCCATCCCAGCCCCCATCATGCCCCCCTGCTGCACACCGCGTCCTCTCCCAACCCCCCGGCCCCCTGCCGCGGCCTCTCGACACCTCCTTCACGGCTGCGGCTCGCCCCCCAAGCACCCCACCATGCCCAGCCTGCCACTGCCGCCACCTCCCCACCTCACCACTGCGGCACGTAGTGCTCCGGGTCGTTGGCCTCCTCGGCGGTGCTGATGCAGTTGGGGGAGGGCGGGCAGAGTGCCAGCGTCTTGAGGCCGCCACCGTAGTCCTGCACGCCGATGTTGGTGGGCCGCGGGGCGGCGCCCCAGGTGAACAGCGCCCCCAGCACCGCCGCGTTCACGCTGTGCAGCACCATCTCGCTGCGGGAGGGGGGAGGGGGCGGGGTAGGGGCAACGTGGGGGCCGGCAGGGGCTGGGGCTGTGCCGGCAGAAGGGTGGAGGAGGCGCAAGCCCAGGCGGCGGCGGTGCAAGGCGGGCGGAAACCACCACACGCAATCCCGATGGGCCCATGTCCCGCCTCTGATCGCCCTGCCAGGCCGGCCCCTGCTCGTGAATAGCAGGGCAAGAGAGCCACAGTGCCTCTGCATTCCCATCGCTCACCGCCGCCCCGTGGTTGCTGGCTGATCATCCCGGCTTGCGGTGCACATCACCAATTGCCTAGCCGAGCGCCGGCTGGCTGCCGGGGCCTTGGCTGCGGCCACAAGGGGCTTGGTGCAGCTTGCAGCGGCGAGCATTGTGAGCTGTGGACTGCCAGGGACCCAGTACAACTGCTGGGTGAGGCGATGGCGGCTCCGCTTGCGAGTAGGACGCCATCCCACGGGTACTGCTCATCCCGCGGTACAGTGGCGTATTCCTGCCGCCGTGTGCTTGCAATGGCATGCTGCAAGTTACAGCCGGTGGGAGTGTGGCAAGCACATCTGAGTGAAGGAAAAAGGCAAAGGAGATAGAACGGTTGCTCGCCAGGGGGCGGAACGGCCGCGCACTTGGCTCCATGCCCGTGCGGCTCGGTCGCCGGCACCCCGCGCCGATGCCGCGGCAGGGGCCCCTGCCGCGGTCGGGCCTCGGAGCCGCCGTGCCGGGGCGCATGGGGGCGCCCCTCTTCAAGGGGCGCTCGTGGAGGCGCTTCCCTCCTCCCTCGTCACGCCTCACGCCTCCACGGTGATGCCCATGTTGCGGGCGGTGCCCGCCACGGTGTTGCAGGCGGCGTCCAGGTCGGTGCAGTTGAGGTCTGGCAGCTTGATGGCCGCAATCTCGCGCACCTGCTCCATCGTCACGCTGCCCACCTTCTTGCGGTTGGGCTCGCCGCTGCCCGACTCCACGCCCGCCGCCTTCTTGAGCAGCACTGCAGCGGGGGCACGGGGTGGCGGCGGGGCGCGCGCATGGGTGGGCGATGTGTGATACACGGCACGCTATGCGACCCCTCGGCCCATCTCGCCAGGCCCATGCCCGGGCACATCTGAAGCCTCTAAGACGCCCACACCCATCCCACTCCAGCCCTCCGCCAGCCTGTTAGCCGCTGATGCGGTGACGGCTCGCCGCCGGGGGGCTGCCACACAGCCTGCCAGGCCTCGAGTCCCCCCGGCAGCGGCAGCAACAGCGCTGGCAGGCAGGCAGGGCGGCGGCCTGCCACACAGGCGGCCCAGCCATCCGCAGCCGCAGCACAAGGAGCGGGCGCTCACCGCTGGCGGGGGGCGTCTTGAGGATGAAGGTGAAGCTGCGGTCCTCGTACACCGTGATCTCCACGGGGATGATCATGCCCGCCTTGTCCTGAGTGGCCGCGTTGTACTCCTTGCAGAACTGCATGATGTTCACGCCCTGCAGTAGAAGAGGGGAGGGCGGGAGGAGAGGAGAGGGGCGGCGGCCGCGGTGAGGCGGCGGCGGGGCGAGGGCGTGGGGCCCGCGGGCGACGCGTGCCGCGCGGCGGCGGCGGCAACGCAGGGAATGCCGCCCCAGGAGCTGCCGCCCGTGCTGCCTGCCCGCCCCATGTGCTGCCTGCTACAGCCACGCAGCACACCCAACGGTGTGCAGGCCAGCACTGGCTGGTCACAGGGCGCACCTTGGCACCCAGGGCGGGGCCCACAGGCGGTGCGGGGTTGGCCTTGCCCGCTGGAAGCGCCAGCTTGATCATACCGGTCACTGCAGCGCAGCAACGTAGCCAGGTGAGTTGCTGAGCAGCCGTGGAGAGGAGCGAGAGGCGATAGTCTCCTAGTGAAGGCGGCGGCAGGGGCGCCAGGCGGTGTGCGCGGCGCAGGGCGGCGAGTGCGCCATGCATTCCCTGGGGCAGCCTTCACGGAATGAAGGAGCCCAAGCAGTGCTGCAGTGGCTCGGGTGGCGGTCATGCATCCCTCTGCCCCTCACCCAGGGCTGGTGCATTGCCCCCCCCTGCGCCTCACCCTTCGCCGCCATGGTGGTGACAGCCCTCCGGGAGGTGCTGCTGCTGCTGCTGGCCTCCAGGCGAAGAGCCTTGCCCGAGAACTGCTGCTGAGCCCCCTTGAGGAAGCTGCTGCTCGGTGCATGCCGCTGGATGCTGCTGCTGCGCTGCTGGGAGCCAGCGACTGCTGTGCGAAGCACTCCAATTGCTGCGCACGCCATGCTGCTGCTTCTGGACCTCCCCGCTTCGCCGGTCAACACCAAGAACCTGCTGTCAACTCCCAGGATGGCGCAGAGCGCGGAATGGGTGGGCCAGATGGGTGGATGACGATGTACCGCGCAGGCGTACCTGTGGCGGGCCGCCGCCGTTGTCGCGGCAGCGTGCTTGAGCCGCCGGGCCGCCATACGTACCTTGTGGGAGTTCCCACCACTGGCATCAGCAGCTATCCTCGCACACCAAGCAGCCAGGCCACCCTCATTGATGTTCATCAATGAGCTTGCAGGCTTGTTGAGCACGCAAGTGGCGGAAGGTGCGCGTCGCCACAGAGCTGGCGAACGCTCTGCTGTGCCGCCAACATGCCACTGTCGTTTCAGCACAGCATAAACGCCGAGGTACCCAACAAGTTACACATAGGGCGAGAAACTAACATCGCTGCCCACTCCGGAGCAACCCGCCTTCGGCGGTTCTTGCCGGCGTCTAGCTGGCGGCGCCGAGTTTCCTCCCACTCACAGCCTGCGGCCTCCCAAGGCGCAGGCCGTCGCTACATTGCCTTCCCCATCGCCCATACCTTCCAGGGGTCTCCCCTGTCCTCGATCGTTCAAGTGGTGATGCTGCTGCTTCTGGGCCGCCTCAGGCTGCTTAGCGGTTGAAGCGATGTATCAACGGCGTCCCTCCTCAGGCACAGAGAGCCCCACCGAGGCCAGTATGCACCCCAGCGTGTACACCCCGCACCCCAACAAGAAGCGGAGCGGCGCGTCGCGCACCCGCAACCTCTTCATTCTGCTGCTGGTTCTCATCGCCCTCACGGTCTTCTGGCCACGAGTGGTGACCTTCCTGGGCGCTCCAGCGCCCGCGGTCAGGCAAACAGATGCCGGCAGCTCCACTGCTGGTCCCGTCCTGGTCAGCTATAGCTACTTCGAAAAGGACCCCATCCAAGTGAGTCGCCTGCCTGGAGGACAGGCCGCGAGGAGCAGGCGGCGGGTTGTGGCGCCGCCGCCCCACTCTGCGAGCCGCCCCTCTACTGCCTGTAAAGCCTGCACGCGCCGGCTCTCCCGTCTCGCCTCACGCCTGCCCGCGCCGCTCCTCTGCAGCGCGAGAACTTCGACTTTTTCATCACAATAGGCATGGGGCTGGACTCGCGCTTTGGCTCCCCCGCAGCCACGGACTTTGTGGTGGTGGTCAACGGCAAGGTCTGCCGCCCCTGCTCCCGCCTCTACCCGCTGCTCCAGGAGGCCCCCGCGCTGCTGCCCAGCCTCAGCGCGGTGTACGCGGGGGAGGGGGTGGCGGTGCTGAAGCGGGCGGAGAATGAGGGCATGGACTTTGCGGCCCACAACATCACCCTCACCTGGCTGGCGGCGCAGGGCAAGCTGGGGTGAGCTGGCGCAGCTGCCTGTGGTTCGCTGCCGCTTGTGGTTCTGGCGATGGTGCTTGCGCAGCCCGTGCTGTCTCTGTCAGCCCTGGAGGCAGCAAGGGGGCCTGAGGGGGCAGGCTGCGGTAGCAGCCCCACCAGCTGCTGTGCTGCTCATTGCTCGAACCTGCCTGCCAATGCGCCCACCACCTGCAACCTGCCTGGCCATGCCAGACCCTGGCCTGTGCTTGGCCAGCACACTGACCCTGCACCGCCTGCGCGCAGCAGCGCCCCCCAGCGCCAGCTGTCAGCCCCAGCAATGCCGCGCTCGCCGTGTCGTCGCTCCATGTCTGCTCTGCCCCTCCCTCCTTCCGTCTCCTGAATCCGGTCCTTGGCCTGTCCTCACCGTCTTCGTCCCTCCCTGCCCCTTGTCCATGCGGCGGTACCATGCGGTACAGGCGGTACAAGTACTACATCTTCCTCAACTCCTCCATCAAGGGGCCCTTCTGGCCCAACTACATGCCGCCCCGCTGGCAGTGGACCCAGGCATACACCGACCTGCTGCGCGGCGACGTCAAGGCCGTCGGATCCTCCCTCGTCTGCCTGCCCGAGGTGGACGCAGGTGCGGCGGCGGCGGCGGCGGCGGCACCGCAGCACCGTGCGCCGCGCGGGCCTCCTGTGCAGCTGTTGTGGCCCTTGCGTGCTCCCCCTTTCTGAAGCCACCGCCCTGCCAACACAGTGTGGTGCATGGTACCACTGTTACAAACGCACACCCTCCGCAAACCCAGCCCACTCCCGCTGCTGCCCCCTCCCCCACCACACGCACACATGCAGGCGGTTACGGCCCCAAGCTTGAGTCCTGGGCCTTCTCAGTGGACCAGGATGGGCTGGAGGCGCTGCTGCGGGAGGGCGTGTTCCACCTGCGCACCTGCAAGCTGTGCGATGAAGGGGTGGTGGTCAAGGGGGAGGTAGGTTAGCGGGAGCGCGGGGCTGGGAGAAAGGCTGGCGGCAGGGCGAGACGCGTGGTGCAATGGCGGCCAGGCGCAGGGCAAGCGAGCTCCCCGCCGGCCGTGGTCGTGACAGCTGCATGTATGCTTGCGTCGGCTTGGCATGCGCCGGTATGAAGCAGAGCATGCACCAGCTGGCTCCCTGCGCCCCTCCCCCTCCCCCGGCCCGCAGTACGGCCTGACCAACAGTCTCATGAAGTACGGATACAACGTGGACACGCTCATGTCCATGTACCGCGGGGTGAGGCCGCTGCGTGTGGCGCAGAGGGGTGTGGATATGTGTGGGTGGTGGTGGCGATGGTGGTGGTGGTGGCGGCGGTGGGCTTAGAATATTCAACACGCGCGGCAGATTCGTGGATTCGTGTTGAATTCACGCAGCGCTGCAGCCCGGGCCGCTACGATTTGGGCGGCACCCGCCACCGACCCCTCGCTGACTCCCCGCTGCCGCCCCGCAGGTGGACTGGCGGGACCGGCGGCACTGGCGGTGCAACAACAACGTGCACCCCTCGCGGCACGGCACCTACGGCGGCATCACGATGCACCCGTACGAGACGCTGTTCCTCAAGGCCTCCTGGCACGTGGGCGAGCCCTTCCTGCAGACCTACTCCACATGGATGCTGAAGCAGGTGGGCCCTGCAGAGGGGTGGGGGCACACACACAGGGACGGCACGCGCCGGGATTGCAGCAGTTTGGAGGAGGAGGGAGCTCCGGCGCCAGCGTGCAGCAGCCAGGCCGTGCGCAGGCCAGCTGGCATCGCACGCTGCCTGCCTCGCCTGGCTGCGACGCGCGCCGCCCTGCCGGGCTGTTTACCTGGCGCGTGCGAGTGCAGGCGGCGGGCAAGGACACCACCAGCGGCATCTTTGATGAGCCCATGTACCGATACGCCATCAGCCCAGAGGCCCAGGAATCTCACCACGTGTCCACCTGCTACGATGTGCTGCACCGCCAGTAGCCGGGCCAGGCTGCTGCAGGCTGCCATGCTGTGCGGCGGCGCTGGAAAAAAGGACGGTGAATGCCTCGCCCAGTGCTTGGCCCAGGCCGCGGGGCGCTGCCGACGACCCGTGACGCAGCCGGGCGGTGGCGCGGGGCCCTGCAAGCTTGGGCCGCAGCGCGTGCCAAGGCCCCGTCCCGCGCGGCCCCCCAGACCCATGCCGCAGCCGTTGTTTTCCAGTCTTTTGTTTTGTTGGGAGGTGCCGCGGCGCAGTTGCGGCCCTCTGGTTGCCCCCAACTCTGTCCTCCTCCCTGCTGACCCGCTCCTGCTGACACTCCCATATGCTCCCGATTGGTTTATGTTGCTTTTGCCCTTGGAATCATTTGATACAGTCCCCAGCTGCAACCTGCGACATCTCAGGTGCAGCCAGGCCAGGGCAGCGCGACACGGTGGTGCGGCACGGTACAGAGGGTGGGCTGGCAGGGAGACGAGCAGGCACTGGCATTCTGAAGTGCGTAGGGAGCAGCCGCGCAGGAAGGCGGTGCCGTACCCGGGTGCAGGTGGCTGGGTTGGAGGGGCGCTGCAGTTTTAACCGAGCTGCCTGCCTCTGTTCCTGGCTTTGTCCCTGCGCTCGACAACGCCGCGGGACGTGTCAAAGTGGTCAGTTTGCTGCAGCTGCTCGCTGGCAAGGCCCCAAGACTGACCCTCCTTGGTTCAGAGGTGAAGCTTGGCAGCTCCCAGGTAGGGCTGCGTGCACGACTGCTGCCACCAACGTGCTGGGGCGCTGGCAGTCCCACGGCTGTCAGCGTCGGTGCGCCCGCCAGCCCGCCAGCCCACCACCGCACGACACCCGCCTGCCTGCCCTTCCGCTTGCTGCAGGGCTGTGTCACGACCTTTGTCGTTGCGTGTGCAAGTAATGGAGTTGGAAGACGGGCTCTACCGTGCAGCCTGGGATGGTGACGAGGCGGCGGTGCGGCAGCTACTGGCCGGCAGCTACTGGCCGCAGGCGCTCGGGCCGATCGGCCTGGCACGCACGGCAGCCTTCCGCTGCACTTGGCGTGTTTGCGCTGCCACGAGGGGGTGGCGATGCTGCTGGAGGCTGCCCCAGCCACGGTTGTGGCAGCGAACAGCGCGGGGTGGGCACCGCTGCACCATGCAGCCCTGGCAGGAAACAGCGAAGTGGTGAGGCTGCTATTATCTGCCGCCCCCGGCCCAGCCGCGATGCTCGACTGCCACGACCAAGCCCCCATCCACTTTGCCGCCAGCGGCAACAATGCGGCAGCAGTGCGGCAGCTACTGGAGACGGCGCCGGAGCTGGCTTTCGCGCCCGATCGGTATGGAGCGCCGCCGCTGGAGCTGGCGCTGCGCTCTCACGCAGGCACATCGGTGGAAGCTGTGGAGACGGCGCACTGCCTGGTACTGGCGGCGCCTCCAGTGCAACCCACGCTATCGACCCTCAATGAGTATGAACCCACATGGTCTGACCTCTATGCCGACCTGGTGGCCCGCCTGCCGCTCACCCAAGAGGAGTGGCAGCTCATCCCCAGCCCCGGCCCCGGCCTGGCACACGCGCTGCCCGCGGTCCTGCAGCGCTCGGCGGTCGAGGCGGGGTGGCTGGTAGGGCGGCTGGTGGAGGAGCAGCGTGCACGGCTGCGCAGCGCGGCGCTCAGCCTGGCGCGGGCGCAGCAGGGGCAGCGCCCCATCTCTGCGGATGTTAGCCGGCGCATCCTGGCGGTGTGCCTGCTGGACTCCTGAGTTTTCCTTTTCGTCAGGCCAACTCACGTCTCACTCCACACCATGCCCATCGAGCCACAATCGAAGCTCTTGCATGCCTTGGACTTTCTCAATACGCTTGGTCAGCAAGGGCGACACGGGGATGCAAATGGAACGAATGCCAGCGTGCTGATGAGCGCAGGTCGGGGGCCCACATCCAGAGGAAGCTGTGGAGGAGGGAGAGGGTAGGAGATGACCCGCTACCGCCTGCCAAGCACGTAGCCGTCGCCCGGGCCTGTGCCCGGGCCGGCGGCGGCTGCCGCCGCCATCTGTCGGTGCACCTTCTTGCAGCAGTGGTCCAAGGCGGCCTGGAAGTTGAGCAGCAGCTCAAACACCGCCGCCTCCTGCTCCCCGCCGCTCTCCCCCAGCCATGCCACCGTGGCCTGCACCACCGCCGACGTCTGCTGTGACAGGGCCCCCAGCTCCTCCTGCCGCCGCTTGGCACCTGCCAGGAAGCTGCTCAGCATGGTCGCAAACGGAGGCAGCGCCTGGCGGGCAGCCTCCCCCTCGCCGCCGCCACCACCCCCGCCATCCTGCTGCTGCTGCTGCTCCTGCGCATCGCCGCCGCCGCCACCGCCGCCGCCTCTCCGTGCCGCCGCCGCCTCCAGCTCGTTTCTGAACGCAGCCTGCCTGCCCGCGGCGGCGCCTCCCAGCCCGCTGCCGTCGTTGCCGGCGGCAGCCGAGGAGGCTTGGAGGCCCTGCTGCTGCTGCTGCTGCTGCTGCTGCTCCAGCTCTGCATCCTGCTCCTCCTGAAGATTGCGCATGCCGGCATCCAGGCTGCGCAGCGAGTCGGCCACGTCTGCACGGCGGCGGCGGCGTGGGTGGAAAGATGGCTTGGGTGGGAAGAGCGGCGTGATTGAAACTAGCGGGCATGGCTGGCGGTCAGTGAGGTGCAACAGAGGCGGCGCTGAGGCAGAGGCAGGTGCCGGATCAGGGGCGACGTGCGAGGGGGCGCCAGACACGTCTCCTGGGAGGGCAATAACAGGCATCCGCCGCCGCCCGCCAGCCCCTGCGCAGCCCCGGCACGCGGCTCACCCGTCTGCATGCGCCGCACCGCCAGCCCCAGCTCCGGCAGCTGCTGCGCCAGGAAGCCGCCCCGCACGTCCCGCGCCAGCTGCTCCCCATCCACGCCGCCGCCGCCGTCGGCAGCAGGCGCCGCCTCCCGCTCCAGCGCCGCCCAAGCCACAAACTCCAGGAGGGTCTTCACGGGCGGCAGCGGCTGCTGCTGCGTAGGCGGGTCCGCCGCGCCGTTGGCCGCGGGGGGCTGCTGCGCAGGGCTGGCGCCCGAGGAGGCCGCGCCGCTCGCCGCACCGCCCGCAGGCGGCTGCTGCTCGTCGGGGGGATGCTTGCGTGGGGTCGCGGAGCCGCCGCCGCCACCTCCACCACCGGCGGGGACAGCCGTCACCTTGACGTCACTCAGTTTAAGCAGGGAGTCGAGCTTGATGCCGCCTGGAGGAAAGAAGGAAGGAAGAGAGGAAGAAAGAAAGGTTGAACAAAGGTATGGAGCAGAATGCGTCACATGCGGGGGGCTGCAGGCTGCAGAGTGCTCCGGACTGAAGCAGCTGTGCAAGGAGGGCAGGGCGCCAGCAGGAACACTGCTGACAGCAGAGTGGGCAGCAGTCCAGCAAGAAAAGCCACTGGCGGTGCCCAGCGCAGCGTGCCGCTGCCGCCGGCGCTGAAAACACAAGCGCACCTGCCCCGCCGCGCGCCGTCCCCGCGTTCAGCTGGTTGCCGGCGGCCAGCACCAGCGCCAGCACGCGGCGCAGGCGGCCGCTGCCGCGGATCTGCTGGCACGCCCTGCAGCAGGTCACGGCCACAGCAGATTTTAGATTAGCTCACTGCTACTCTACCATCAAAAACAAACACTGTAGATCAACGCCCACTACTACCTTTACACCACAATACTACTGTAGCACCAAAAAGGGAGGCCGATTCGCTGGTGTACCACCACTCCTGGACCTCGCCCTCCTCCACCCATCACCCCCTCTCGCTGCAGTGCCACGCGCCCGTCTCACCTGCGCAGCGTCTCCATGCCCGCCGTCGCCTCGCTGCACAGCCCCTCAAACTGCCTGCGGAAGATGAGGGCCTGAACCTGCGGCAGGGGGGAGCTTCTAGTGGGTGTGTATATATTTGCTTTGAGCTTTAGGTTCAGGGGTGGTATGAGGCAGCACAGGCTAGCATGGGCAAGGGCAGAGCAGGGCAGGCAGGCCCCGCCGGCAGGCGCGCTAGCCCGAACAAAACGCGCGCTGCACATGCTGTGCTTGCCTTGCTGACGAGGCGCGGCACGCCCGCCATGACCAGCAGGAACTGCTCGGGCGGCGACAGCTCAGCGGCGGGACCGCGGTACATGCGTAGTGCCTTGGCCTCGTCAGTTGTGGGAGCAATCTGCAGTGGCACCGGGAGGCACCGCCAGGCTGTTGTGGGGGTGGTTTGAGCAGGCAGGGCCAGGGCATGTGGCAAGCGGCGGCTGCGGCAGACACGAGACAAGTGCGTGCTGCCGCTGCTGCTGGGCTGTGCGGGGGGATGCACCAGCTGGCACCAGCTGGCACCAGCTGGGGAAACCTGAGCAACAAAACAAATACAAGGTCGCCGCCAGCGAGGCCCCACCTGCAGCAGCAGCGACAGGTGTTCCAGTCCCAGCTGCTCGCTGCCGCTCAGCACTGCGGCCTTGATCTCCTCCGGCCCCTTGAAGGCGCCAAACTGTCGCAGGGGTGGGTGGGTGGGTGGGCGGGTGGCGGGCGTACGACGGTAAGGATACCAGCGTGCAGGCAGGCCAGCCAGGCACAACCAGCCAGCATGTTTCTTCGATTAAACAGGGTTTCCTGCAAGGCGACCTGCAGCCAGGGAGGCAGCCGGGGCCCAGGACCGCCCGCCTGCACGCCACCCACACCCGCACCTGTGTCAGCATGATAGAGATGTTGTTGGCCCGGGGCAGCGGGATGACCTTCACCACCGCTCCCCCGTGCGCGCCGCGCTCCCTCCGCGCCGCGCTGGCGGGGGTGGCGGGGCGGCTGTCGCGCAGCTGCAGACGGGGATGAGAGGAGACGCAGCAGGGGGGCAGCACATGACAGGTACCGGGTAAGTTGAGGCGGCCGGGGGTGGCCGACGGGCAAGAAATGCTCTGCCAGCGCTTGAAACGACTTGAAACGACACCGCTGCACCCCCACACATGGGTGGCTACGCGCAAGGAGTGCCGCCAGCCCAGCCCGGCCCGTCCCGCCTCCTTTCTTCCTCAGCACGAGCTGGCCCCTCCCACCCACGCTCACCTCAAACAGGCGGGTGAGCGTGGAGCTGTAGGGCTGGGGCAGGTCGCCCACAGGCGCAAGTTCTGACCACAGCGTGCCTGGCTGCAGGGAGCACAAGGATGAGCGGATGGGTGAATAGGTGCATGGGTGGGTGAGTGGGAGGTGAGCAGGCGCGGCTTGGCAGCAGGCGCGGGCAGGCAGGCCAGCCAGGGCAGCTCCTCTCAACCCACGTGTGCGGCTGCCTTGCTCCAGTAGAAAGCGCGCAGCTTGGGGCCGTCAGCCGGGCGCCGCATGGGCGTGGCAGGCGTGCCTGGCGCCCGCTGCCCTGCAGGGCACGGCCCGCCGGTTTTCCATCTGGTGATCAAAAGGCTGGGCAGCGCGCGGCGGGGTGGCAACACACCGTTGCGCCCCATTCAGATCGCCAAACCGTCAAAGTGAGGCAGGTTGGAGGCATGCACGCAGCGCGCAAAGCACAGCATGCACAGCATGCAGCCTTGGCTGATGTCAACTGCCCCCGGCAGCAGGCCCCAGGCCCCAGCGTACCTCCGGGCAGCGGCGGCGGCAGGCCCTTCCCAAGCGGCGTTCTGGCTCCCCCAGGCGGCGGCGGCGGCGGCGGAGGGCCCTTGCCGCCCGGCAGCCTTCCAGGCGGTGGTGGCGGCGGCGGCGGGCCCCTGCCGGGGCTCACGCCAGGTGGCAGCGGCGGCGGCGGCGGCGGCGAGGAGCCTGTTCTGCCGGGGCCGGCGCCTGGCAGCGGCGGTGGCGGCGGCGAGGGCGCGCCGCTGCCCGGGCTGCCGCCACCTGGCAGCGGCGGTGGCGGCGGCGGCGGCCTGGGCCCTACCGCCGCTCCCAGCGAGCCTCGCCCCGGCATCGGTGGCGGCGGAGGTGGCGGCGAGGCTCCCGTGGGCCGGCGAGGGCTGGCACCGGCAGGCAGCGGCGGCTGCGGTGGCGGCGGTGGCGGCGCCGCGGGCCCCGCCTTGCACCCTGCCAACGCTGCACTGCTCCCGCCCTGTTCCTCCTGCTGCTGCTGGTCTGCAGCCGCAGCGGGCACTTGGTTGCCTGCCAGGCGCCGCGTGCCTGGGGAAAGCGGCGGCAGCGGCGGCGGCGGCGGCGGCGGCGCAGCCTTGCGCAACACCGGTGGGGAGGCGGGCGAGGGCGGTGGGCGCCCGGGCGGCAGCCCGGCGCCGCCAGCCATGCCCGGCGCTGCCGCAGCAGGCGTCCACTGGCCCGTCTCTAGCGCCTGCGCCGCCTCCTGCACGGCGCCTGCCGCCGCCGTAGAAGCCGGCGCCGGCGCCGGCGCTGGCCGCTGCTGCGTGCCTGGCAGCACCTGCTCTGTAGGGATCTCCTCCAGCTGAGAGGTGTCTATTTCCAGGCGGCCGCTGCCGCCCCTGGCGGCGCTGCCGCTCTGCGCCGCAATGTGCACCAGCGCAATGGCGGCTTTGACGGAGTCGCCGCGCCGCACCTGCATCCCCGCCGCCGGCGCCCGCTCGCCGCCTGCCGCGCCTTCCTCTGCTCCTGCCGCCTCTGCGCCTGCTGCCGGCCGCTGCGGCGTGGCATACCGCGACCCCCCGCCTTCGCAGGCCTCAGCCGCCTCTGCTGCCCCCGCCTCGAACGGCGCGGTGCTGTGCTCAGCGCTGGAGCTGCCGCCCGCCTCGGCCTCCTCCTCCGACGCGCCTCCCTCCAGCCGCAGCGGCAGCCCGAAGATGGGCGGCGGCCGGTGTGCGGCGTGGGGCGAGGAGGCGGCTGAGGAGACGGCTGTGCTGGGGACCTGGCTGGAGGCAAAAGAGCCCTGGCGGGAGTGCAGGCTGCGCGGGATCTGAGACGGCCTCAGGCGGGCGCCCTGCACTGCTCTGACCTGCACGCGTGGAAAGGAGGGGGAGGGGTGCAAGGCATGGAGGCAGGGAGGCCGGCAGGCAGGCTGCGTAGGGCACCAAGCAGGATGAGGGCAGGCAAGAGGGTACCGCTGCGGAAGCTGTCCCTCACCTGTGCTATGACGTCCTGCATTGACGCTCCCTCAGGCACCCTGCACAGCACGCCGGCAGCAAGCAGCCAGCCACACACAGCCAGGCCCGCTCAGCAGCAGCCGAGCAGCAGCATCGGACGGCACCCAGCCAAACGCAGATGCAGGGGTGTGGCGCGCATGACACCGCGCATGCGGCAGAACAGGTGGGTGCCCCCGCTCTTTGCTCTTCTGTTGCAAACAAACAGAAAGAGGAAGGGCAGGGCGGCTGCTCACGCCTTGAAGTCCAGCCAGCCATCCGTCTGCTCAATCAGGTCTGCCCAGCTGCCACGCAGCCGCTCGACGTCGGTGGTGTGGTCCTCGTCCACGCTGCAGGGGGCAGAGAAAGAGGAGGAGCATGCGTGCGGTGGTGGTGATGTGGGGATGGGAGGGTAGCAATTCAGCAGCACCGAACACGGTGGACAACCCAAGCAGGCGGGGCTGGGCTCTGCACACATCACCAGGGCAGGCACAGCTTAGCAGGCGCAAGCAAAACAGGCAGTACATTCATGCACGCCTGGCAGTACAATCAGGCGGTACACGTCAGCGGGGCAGGGCAGGGCGCACGTGGTCCCGGGCGGCAGGTCGCCGCTCAGCATCATGTCCATAAAGAAGCCCTCCCTCTCAGCATACTGCGAGGCCGCAGGGCTGCTCCCCGGCACATCCAGCTTGCGGGCTGCAGCGGGGGGGGGGGTGCGGGCGAGTACTTGAGTAGGCACGCCGCGGGAGCGGGAGGCAGGACGTGGATGGAGGAGGCAACGGGGGTTGGTGAGATGAGAGGCAGAGGCGAGGAGGGGGCAGGCAAGGGAGGTGAGGGGGCCCAGCGGTGAAGCCTGGGAGGCAGGCACGGCGAGCAGTAAGCACCCACCCGTGGCCCTCAGCACTCCTCCGGCGGCGCAGTCAACAAAGGAGGTGTGGAAGGCGTAAGACAGGGCCGGGGGGTCCCACTGCACACCAATCGGGGGGTGGTTGGTCGGGTGGGGGTGGGATCCCAAGCCGTCCTTGGATACAAACAAACCAGCGCCCGCCGACCGAAGCAGCGGCGGCGCCACCGCGGTACCACCGGCGGTACCATGCCTCGCCTCGGAGAAGTGGTCTGTGAACCAGATGGCCACCGTGACGTCGCCCTTGATGGGCAGGTTGACCTCAAAGGCCACGGTGTCGTCCTGCGGCAACCAACAAATGGAAAGAAGAAAGGCGGGAAAAAACAGCTTCAGGAAAAGGGTTCTCTTGATTGGCCTGAAAGGCCACGGGTGTCGTCGCGCAGGGCGACAGTAGCAGTACACTACCAGCGGTAGACGTTTGATCAGGTTAACCGGGGGGCTGACCAGCAGGGCTGGAAGGAGCACGGCCGCAGCTGTGGCAGCGGCAGCGCCTCCTCACCTCCTCCCCCAGCGCAGCCAGGCTGGCGCCCTGGCTCCACAGCTGGCGACCGCGCTGGAACACCACCAGCAGCGTGCGCGCCGTGCGCACTGCGGTGCGCTGCTGCGGCGCGCCTCGGTTGCGCATGGGGGACTCTGCAGCAGCGAGGGAGCGCCGTAGGAGCGGTGAGGGCGGGAGCAAGGGCGAGAGTCGGGAGCTACCGCTGCTCAACTCAGCACGCGTCCATTGCATGCGTGCAGGAGACGCCAAGTACGCAGGCCGGCCTGCTGGGCGCCCCCGCTGGCCACACAAGACCTGGCGCAAAGCCACCGTCGGCGAAGCAGCCCAGCCGGCTGCACACGATGCGGCGCAGCAGCAGCGGCTGGCCGTAGGTGGCGGGCAGCTGCTGCTCGCGATGTAGCAGCGTGCAGAAGTAGTCGCCGTACCGCAGCTGGCCCGGCAGCAGGCGCCTGCGGGCGGGTGGAACGCAGCCAGCGGCGCCAGGCAGCTGGGATGGGAGGACGGGGCACGGCACGCCATCAACGGCAGCTGCCAGCAGCGGGGCCCGCGTGCACAGCCAACAAGAGTAGCCCAGCGCAGCGCAACCGCAGCGCAGCGCGGTGTGATGCTCACTGCGATCTGCTGGCAGCCCCCGGGCGACCGCGGCCACCCCCATTTCCGCCGCCGCCCGCCAGCGAGGACAGGCTGCTGGTGCTGTCGTTGGCGGTCAGCGCCCAGGCTGCGCCGGCGCCGGCCTTGGGCGTGCCGCCGCCGCCGGCGGGGCGCAGCGCGGGCAGCATGTCGAGCGCCAGGTGCACGTTGTCGCAGCCGACAGAGAAGATGAGGTGGCAGGCGGCTACCAAGTGGATGAGCTGGCGCTCGGTACCGGTGCAGGTGCGGGCGTGCAGCACCTGCGGTAGAGGGCAGCGGGCAGCGGGCAGCAGCACACCACACGGCGTCAGGACTGGTGTCAGCAGGAGCAGGCGGGCTGCCAGGATGGGGAGCTGAGCTGGCAGGTAGGCTGCCATCCAACACTGTAGTGCAGCAGTACAGCGGCAGTACTGCCCCCAACCAGCGCACCACGATGTTGTCTGGGGAGAGCGATAGCCAGGAGTGGATTTGGGAGCAGATCATGAACCTGTGTGGGGGCAGGGGCAGGCAGGCAGATGAGCAGGTCATACACGGGCATCAGGCACAGCATCAGACAAACAGCATCAGCTGTCATCTGTACGACAGCATCAGACAGATGACAGCATCAGACGGATCGGTTTCGCTAACGTGAGACCGGCAAGCAGCAGCAGCAGCCGCCAGCCAGCGAGGCCGCCAAGCGGTGCAACCCAAGCAGCCATGGAGGCTCAAGCGCAGCGGCCCGGCCGGGGCCAGGGAGGGAGGCGGCGGGTGCGCTCACAGGATGTGCAGCGGGCACAGCGCCAGCCCCGACGGCTTCTCCCAGATCTCCATGGGCAGCTCAAACACGCTGTTGTCAAACAGGGCGTACGCCTCCACATTGCGCCTGCAGCAGGAGGGACAGGCCCACACAGCACCAGAGTGGAGCTGCCGTTCGGGAAAGGAGGACGGCATGGGGCAGGCAGGTGGGCACGCCGCCAGCGCTGCGTCCCAACTCCCAGCCAGCTGCGATGCGTGCTGCCAGGCGCGCCGGCGTGTGCCTGCGACGGAGGAACCGCGGCCGTCAGACGCAGCGCACCAGGCGGGCGAGAGGTTGAACAGCTGCACGCCGCCTGGGCCGTTGCGCATGGCCCGCAGCTCCTGCGCCGCCTGCTGCAGGTACACCTTGTAGCTGTCTGACAGGAATGTCTGGCGGTACGACTTGTTCCACGACTCCCGGTCCTCCTCTGCGCATGCCAAGCCAACCAGGAGCGTTCAGAACTGCTGCCGGGGAGCTGTTGCGATCCCAGGGCGGCAGGCGGCACAGGAGCTGCCACCGCAGCAGCAGCACGCACCATAGACGCATGCCAGCACCCGGTCGGTCAGGTAGTAAGGCTTGGGCGACTGGGTGGGCCCTGAGATGCCCCAGGCCCGCAGGAAGTAGTCCATGGCAAGGGGTCAGCCAGTAGCTAGCGGCGCCGAGAGCCCATGAGGACGGCGGCGGCGGCGGTCCAGAGCTGCCGCCAGTCTGCGCTCTGGCGCCGGACCGCCTGCACCCTCGGCGGCAGCGCTGTTCCAACGCAGGCCCCTTTGAGTGCGGACCGACTGCTCGCCGTTGAAGACTTCGGGTGGTTAAGCGTCTGCTGCTGAAAGCAGAATCGCAGTCGTCCAAACAATGCTGCCCCTGGCGTGACGGGACAGCGGCGCGCCACCATGCGCCTTCATGCCCCGCCGAGCTGGCGCAGCACAGCATGGCGCCAGCAGGCGCCGCCTCCGCCGAGTCCCGTTGCTCTGCCTCGCATGGCAGCCCCAAACCACTGTTTTTTCAAAGGAAGGTGATTACAGGGGATCGCAAGAACAGGTGAGGTAGTAGTCTACAGTGAATTGAAACGGCTGCTGAAGAAGCGCAGCACGGACACCCGAGGCCTCACAAGGGGCTCGGTGCGGAAGCACAAAGAAAGGCAAGGGAATGCAGCCCGTTCTGCACGGGAGTCTGCGCCCGGAAGAAACCCAAATAAGTGGAGCCAGTGTGCAGTACGGTGTGGCAACTAATCAAGGGGAACTGGCGTTGGTGAACTCAAGAGCGGTGGCGCGGATGCCAAGCAGAGGGGAAGGGCGCGGGGCGCCCGGCCGGCTGGCCACCCGCCCTGCTTGCGGTGGATAGAGTGGGGCGTTCAGCGGCGGGCCTTGCGGCGAGGCCGGACAGCTGGCGCCGTGCGTCGGAAGTTCAGCGCGCCACCATGCCCGGCTCGCAGCAACAGGACCTCACTGCTGGCTGGCTGGCAGCGCCTCGTAGTGCAGGATGGTGACGTTGCGGGTGGCGGCGGGCACGTGGGCCGCCGCATACTCCACGCCCTCCTTGAGGGAGCCTTTGGGGGAGTCCAGCTCCTCCAGGTGGCCCTCATGCAGCAGGGGCTTGAGGGGGCCCTCGCCGCCGGAGCCGGCGCGGAAGATGAAGCACGCGCGGCCGGTGCACTGAGCGCGGGCGCTGCAAGGGGCAGGCGGCGGGTAGGAGGGGCCGGCGTGCTTAGCCCAAGGGAGAGCACAGCCGCAACAGCGCCAAGCAGCCAGCAGGAGAGGCTGGTCTGGGGCTGGCCTGGGGCGTTTATCAAGCGCGCCGTGGGCCGGCCATTAAAAGCAGTACAACTCCCTCCCCGCCCGCGCACCTGCAGTAGGCAAAGTACTGCACCAGCATGGCGCCCCACACGGCGGCGCAGGCCCCGGACAGCACGCCAAAGGTGATGAGGCCCCAGTTGAGGTTGCCGGCTTCGTCGCGAACCCGCCAGTTCACCTCTGGCTCCAGCCCGGGGACTGCGGCAGGCAGCAGGGGGCGGCCGGGAGGCGCAGGAACGTGAGCCGGCTGAGGAGGACGCGCAGCAGAGGCGGCAGCGGGAGCGAGGGCCAGGCGGGCAGCGAGGAGGCAGGCTGCGGGGCCAAGCTGCGTCGCGCCTCGGCGGCACCGGCGGCCGGATCAGGCACAGGCAGCGAGGACCGTCCGGCTGGTGTGCGGGCCGCGGCTCGGCGCTGCCGCGCACCTGGCATGGCGGTGTTGGCCAGGCTGCGCCACTCCCGCTCGCTGCCGTCGCGCATGATGAGCGGGCGGGGGAAGGCGGGATGCGCCAGCGGGTCAAACGCCGGGCCCTGGCCCGCCTCCGCCGCGTCGGCCTCGCGCCACATCAGCGGGCGGGGGAAGGCGGGGTGCTCGGCGGGGTCCGGCAGCGCATCATCAAAGTCGGGCTCCCGCATCATGCCGGGGCGCGGGAAGGCGGGGTGCGCCTTGAGGAACGCCTCCCGCTCCTCGCGGGTGGCCCAGGGGCCTGGGCCGGCCTCCTGCTCCTCGACCTCGTCCTGGCCCCGCATCATCATCATCATGTGCGGCCCCCGGCTGTCGCCCACCGGCGGGTGCTCCGCCTCGCCGTCCTCCGGCTCCGGCTCGCCAAACAGCTTGGCCCCGGGCAGCGCCAGCTCGTCGCCGTCGCCGGGCACCAGGCCCTGCGCGGCGGCGGCGGCCTGCATGCGCGCCAGCGCCATCTGCCGCGCAAAGGGGCACCCCGTGGCCAGCAGCTGGTCGTGGATGGCGCCCACCAGGTCCATGCGGGCCTTCACCCGGTTGGCCAGCCGCTCCGCGTGCGGCGGCAGCACGTCGTCAGACGGCCCCGCGCGGCGGCCCATCTGCCGGCGCAGCGGCGCGCCGCTCGCGCTGTACCGCTGCACCATGCCCACCAGCTTGCCGTTCTCCAGGATGGCGTAGGTGCCGCTGCTCTCGCCGGGCTGGCTGTCCTCCTGCGTGGAGAGGACAGCGGGGTAGGGTGCGGGGAGTGAGCGGCGGGGCGAGGGGTGGGGGTTAGGCCCGGCTCGGCGGGGCGCCGGTGGGGAGCGGGCCCCACGCCCCTGCGCCACGCCAAACAGGCTGCACGAGGCCTCGGTCGCGCGAGGCAGGGCCCAGAAGGCCCGGCCAGCGCCTTGGGAGTGGGCGAGCTGGAGAGCCCCAGCAGGCCGGCGGGAGGTGCCGCAGGCCTTGCGCCGCGCGAAACCCCCACCTGGACGGTCCGCAGCTCCAGGGAGGCGGAGGCGAGCCCCGCCAGCGCAAGGAGGAGGAGGGCACCACAAGCTGGCCTCATGTTGTTCGCCATTGCGTTCTCCTGGTCTGAAACGCTGGCACGGTTGCTAGACCGTGCGGTCTGCGGCGTTGGCCGGCGTGGGGGAGGCTCAAGATGTGGGCATCGGCCAACTCAGCGTCCCCATGCAGGCCACCTTGAAGTCCCGCCTTCCCTGCCCTCGGCGTTTTCACCGTGCTGCGGGCACACTGCTAAGGGTCTGCAGCGGGCCTACAGGCGTTAGCCTCTCCCATCTGGCAAGATGGGCAAAAAGTCGGGGCCTCTGGCCTTTCTGAACAAGGTAAGGCCCCTCAGCTGAGGACTGGGGCAGCAGCAGGTGTGCCAGAGCCCAGCCGCCCGGGTTGCCACCCGCCGCCCATCACCCGCCGCCACCCATTGCTCGTACGCCGCCGCTTGCCTCCTCTGCGTGCAGAAAACATGGCACCCGGGGCGCATCCAGAACCTGGAGGAGGTGTGGAAGCGGCAGCAGGACGCGGCCAAGGAGGAGCAGAAGCTCAAGGAGTATGCCAAGCAGCTGCAGGAGGAGCGGGCTCGCGAGGAGCTGGCCTCGGTGGCCGAGGCGGCGGGGCACAAGATGTGAGCCTCTTTGCGTTTGTGCTGGGGTTGCTTGAAGGGGAGGGTGCCTGGAAGAAGCAGAGAAGTCTGGTGTAGCGCTGGTGTAGCTCCCTGAGCAGGCGGGCCTGCCAACTCCCGTCCCAACCGAGCTGTGCACCCGCGGCTGCGCCTCCCTGCTCCCCCGCCCCGCAGCAAGGCCGACCGCCTGGACTGGATGTACCAGGGCGGGCTGGTGGCGCGCCAGGAGGCCGACCAGCGCCTGGCGGCGGCAGAGGCGACCGTCGCGGCTAACGCCGCCGCCACGGCGGCCGGCGGCGGCGAAGTCGCCGCCATTGCTGCGCCCACAGGCGCCACCGCGGCTCCGGGGGGCCCCGCCCAGGCCCCCCGCCTGCCTGCTTTCTACTCCGAGGACACCCCCGCCTCGGCCAACGAGATGTGGCAGCGCCTGCACGCCGACCCGCTGTTTGCCATCAAGCAGCAGGAGCTGGCGGCACGGAAGAACATTGTGGCCAACCCGGTGAAGATGCTGGAGATCAAGCAGCAGGTGGGGGGCGGGGTGGCAGCGCAGGGGTGTGCGTGAAGACAGCCAGAATGTGTGTGTGCGTACTGTGTGGGCGAGGGCGAGGGTGGTGGGCGAGTGCTGTTGTGGGAGCGAGTGCTGTTGTGGGAGCGAGTGCTGTTGTGGTGTGTGGGCGTGGGTGCTTGGGAGCCCAGGCGGCCCCGGCAGCGCCAGCACAGCGGCACGGCAAGCAAGGAAGGTTGCGGCAAGCCGGCCCGGTGGCGTGCCCTTGGAGTCGATGCCTGAGGCTATCCCTACCCCTGCCATCCCTGGGCGCCCCTTTCTTGCTGCAGGTCAAGGAGCTGAAGCAGCTGGCGGGTGGAAAGAAGGAGAAGAAGCACAAGAAGGAGAAGAAGCACAAGAAAGAGAAGCGGCACAAGCGCGACCGCTCGCCCTCCTCGGGCAGCGAGCCCGAGGCGGCGCCGGCGGCGGCAGCGCCGCCCAAGCGGCAGCGGTGGGTGGCTCGAGCTTGCAGCGGCTGCTGCTGCTCCGCTTGCACCTTCCTGGCAGCGCTGCTCCTTGTGATGCTGCTGGCTGTGGTGCTGGCGAAGGGCAGGGACATGCCTGATTCCGCTCGCTGTGCGCCTCGCTCACCCTGCCCGCTGCCCGGCTGCCTGCCTTCAGGTCTGCCTCGCCGCCGCGGCAGCCAGCACCAGCGGGCAGGGCAGAGCCGGCTGTCCCTCGGGAGCAGCAGCGCGAGGCGCCGCGGGACTACCGTGGGAGGGAGGGTGGGGAGCCAGGCAGGCGGTACGGCGATGAGGGCAGGCGGTACGGCGGGGACGACAGGGAGCGACGGGATCATGGCGGCAGGCGGCCGGGCAGCCGCAGCAGGAGCCAGGAGCGTGGCGGCGGCGGCAGGGGAGGTGGCTACGGCGGCGACCGCTATGGCCGGCCAGACAGGCAAGACCGGGAGCGGGAGCGGGGGCGGGAGCATCTCGACGGCGGCAGGCACCGCGGCAGCAGGCACCGCTCGCGCAGCCGCGACCGCAGCCGTGACCGCGGCCGTCGGCACGGCGAGGGCGGGCGCGAGGAGCCGCGGCACGAGCAGCAGCAGGCGGACGCCGCGGCGCCGGCCGTGCAAGTGCACATGGATGGCGCCTCTGCCCAGGGCAAGTCCGCCAAGTATGGCATAGACTGGTCCAGCCGCGTGCCGGAGGAGGCGCGGCAGGCGGACCGCAGGTGAGGCCGGGCAGCTGCGCCCTCCTGTCCAGCTGCCCCGCAAGCCGCCCGGCGGGCCCAGCGTGCACGCGTCTCTGCCTCTGCTGTGCGCGCTGGCCCCGCGCTTCGCCTTGCTCCTTTGTCCCCTCTGCTGCCTCATGCACGTTCGGCAGTGCAGGACCCCCATGCTCTCACTCCCCCGTCCTCCCTGCCCTCCTGCTTGCTTGCAGCGACTTTGCGGAGCAGACGCGGCGGCGGCTGGAGGAGGCAGCCAGGAGGAAGGAGGCGGAGGAGCGGGAGGCGGCGGCGCAGCGGTACCAGCGCAAGGAGTACCGCACCGGCAAGCTCACAGGTGTGCGGAAGCTGCCAGGACGCTTGCCTCGGAGCTGGAGCTGCCAGCATGAGGGCGAGCCTGCACTGGTTGATCGTTGGTTCAAGTTGGTCAGCTGGCTGGGGCCTACAGCTCGCCTCCGAACACTCCTGCCCGCCGCACAGCCGGCCAGCTCACCCCTTTTGCTGCCTGCACCCTGCCTGCGTGCCGTGCCCTCCTGGCTGCAGAGGAGGAGAAGCAGCGGCGCCTGGCGGAGATGATGGGTAATGCGGAGGAGCACGAGGCGGAGCGCGCGCAGCGGCTCAAGCGCCAGGCAGACAAGGAGGCGGCAGAGGGTGAGCGAGCCCCCGCTCCCCGGCGCCCGGCCTCCCGCGCTTGCGCTGCCCGCCGCGCCTGCCTGCCGTGTTGCGCTGCCCGGCAGGCAGACCCTCCTCCTGGCTGCCGCTCGCCTGCACCGGCCCGCTGACCTGCCGCTGCCTCGCCCCCCGGCCTGCAGAAGCGGAGCACGGCGCCAAGCACCACACAGACACCGCCGCCTTCCTGCAGGCGGCCACCAAGGATGTGTACGGCACCACCAAGGGCGGGTCCCTGGAGGACACGGTGGGACGCCGTGCATATTTCAACGAGCGGCGGGAGGGCGGCGCGGCCTTCCGCAAGACCGGCTGAGGCGGCGGGGGCCGCCAGCTGACTGCTGGCAGTCGCGGCGCACGACTGTGCGACGGCCGCAGGAGCCGTGGAGGCCAAGCATGCCCTCCCTTTGTTGTAGATTCTGCAAAGTGTGCTTGTAATGCTCTTCGGACTAGTGCTTCAGGGCATCAGGGCTGGGTGAGGTCTGGGGCAGGGTGTGAAGGCACTGCGGAGGCGGCGGCGGGGCGGCATGCGCAGCATGAACATATGCGGCCAGCCCAGCACACACGTTCAGAAACTTGTCCGGCTCTTCGCTGCGCGCTGCCCTAGTTACCCCACTCTTCCAGACTCCACGCCATCAGACCCTGCCTCCTTCAATCACCTCGCCCACTTCGCTGCATCACCCCGGCGGACGCTTGCAGCAGGTGAGCAGGGCAGTGCGCCGCTGCAAGCTGACCCCCGCCCGCCGCTGCAGCGCGGGGGGCAGACACCGCCACGGCTGCCGCCGCCGCCCCGTCCTGCGCTTGCCCTTTTCACACGCCCGCGCCCGAGTCGCCGCCTGCCCTTCTTCCTGCAGCCAGCAGCAGCAGGGCGGGGATGATCGCGCCAAAGAGGCAGAACCTGGCGGGCAACCCCTCCCAGATCCTGCCCTCGGAGCTCATTGACCGCTGCGTGGGCAGCAAGGTGTGGGTGGTGATGCGCGGCGACAAGGAGATTGAGGGCACCCTCAGGCGAGTCGCTGCGTGGGCACGCTGCGCGGCCTGCGGGGCGCGAGCAGCGTGGGGTGTGGCAGTGCAGGCGCGCTGGCAGCCGGGCGCATGAGCAGCCCGCCCGCCGCGCGGCGCCCGCCGTGCCTCCTCCCACCATCCCAGCCTGCTGCTGCCGCCCGCTGCCGCAGAGGGTTTGACGTGTTTGTGAACATGGTACTGGAGGATGTCACAGAGTACGAGATTACGCCAGAGGGCAAGAAGGTGACGGTGCCGTTGCTTTTATTTTACTTTCTTAGATTCTTGCCGACAGCCCCCATGCACCGCACATGCATGCACAGCACAACAGCTCTCTCACGCAGCACAACAGCTGCTGGCCCTGCAGGTCACCCACCTGGACCAGATTCTGCTCAACGGAAACAACATCGCGGTGCTGGTGCCCGGCGGCAAGCCAGAGGACCAGTAGCGGGTGGGCGGGCGGCATGTTTGTAGGCAGGCGCAGGCGGCGGCGCGGTTCCGAGAGTCTCGGCTCGAGCCGCCAGCAGCCCGCATGCACTCGCCGACCTCCCGCTGCGGCTGCCGTTGCTTCCCTGACGCATGCATTGTTTATTCTGTGCTTCCCTGCTGACTCTGCTGCTGTAAGGTATCGTCCGTTGACATTGAGCGGGGGTTGCAGGGGCAGGGCAAGGCTGCGCACTGGTTCCAAACACCCATGCCTCAGGGCGGCGGCGCCAGCGGCGCCGCCAAGGTGGATCTGCTGGCCTCTAGCGGGCTGGCCCTCTGATGACACGACTTTGGGCCGTCGTTTGAGCATCGATAGGCTCGCTTCCCGGCTCTGAACCCACCTGATCACTCGGGCTGTTGTCGTTTTGCCCTCCCGGCAGCTCTGGGCCTCACGATGATCTGACAGCGACGCGATATCAGGCATCATGCAGGTGGCAGGCCACCCAGTCGCTCGCACACTGGAGGCGGGAGTCACGCTCTTCTCAGCGGCGGAGATACGAGTGGTGCGTGCAGCCAGGCCAGGGCGCAGTGGCCCACTAATTCCATCGGCTGGCGCCAGCCGGGCCGGCGCTGGGACGCCAACTCCCAGCCCCGCCGCCGCCCACCGCCCGCCGGCCTACTGCCGCCCGCCGCCGCAGGTGCTGCTGCCGGTGGGCGAGGCGCCTGAGGCCGTGTTCCAGCGCTACGCCTCCCTGATTGTGCGGCACCGCCAGGTGGAGCTCAACAACGTGCGAAGCTTCTACAAGGAGGCGCAGAAGAGTCCCTTCAAGTTCTTCCCATGGAAGCAGGGCAACATGCACTTCCGCTTCCTGCCGGTGCGCTGCCGGCGGCGCGTGGGGTGCCAGCGTTGGATCTGCCGCTCCCCTGGAGCAGACAGCGCAGACCTGGGACCCCAGCATGGCAGGGGTGACCGCGGGGCGCAGGGCCAGGGGACAGGCAGCCGCGGCGGTTGGCAGAAGGACTTAATGGTGGGGGAGAGATTTACGAGCGGCACGCCAACGCCTGCCTGCCCTCCCCTCTCCCACCCCCCGACCCCTCCCTCCTGCGCCTGCCATCCACGAGCAGGAGGAGCTGGCTCTTGAGGCCTCGCCGCTGGCGCCGCTGCACAGCCACCGGCGGGTGCTGGGCGTGATTGGCATCATGCACTGCCCAGAGGTGCAGGACGTCGCCAAGGCGTACCTCCAGTTTGAGCAGCGCTGCAAGTGAGGCCAGCTGGGGGAGCAAGCTGGGGGGGGTGCTGTGCAGGGAGCAGCTTCTCGGGAGCGCTGCCGGGGAGCAGTTTGGGCGCAGCCATGTCAAGGGACGGTTAGGCAGCAGGGCATTAAGAACCTCGCACTCTCTGCCGGCTACTTCCCCAGCGCCAGCATCTCGACAGGCGCATGCCGACCCATCCTGCACACGTCATCTGTACCGCCCACCCTGTGCCCCTCTCCACCCCTGCTTCCCTGCAGGGCCTTCCCCGACGCCTTCACGCTGCGCTGCTTTGCGTTTGAGCCCAGCGACGAGCAGATCCAGGAGGACCGCAAGGGGCAGCGAAACTTCATCATGTTCCCACCGGGTGGGTGCAGGCAGTACAGTGGCTGTGGGATGGCAGTACAGCGGCAGCGGCAGCACGCTTGGCGGCAACTTTTAGTTTTGCCGGCAGGCCACGCAGCACGCCCATGCCACGCCCCACCATGCAAGCGCATGCCTCTCCCCTCCCTTGCTCACTTCTGTTGCCCCTCTCCCACCACCTGATAAGCCTGGTGCTCAATGCCATCTCAACGCCATGTCCGCGCTTTCCACCTGCTTTCCATCTCTGCAGGTGACTATGAGCAGCTGGACAACCATGCTGAGGTGGTGATGCACGACTTTGCGGCCTGCCTGCTGGCGGAGCTGGAGCGGTGGATGCTCAACGCCTCCCCCGCCATGGTGGACCTGTCGGGGCAGCTGGTGGATGCGCCGGAGTTTGCGGGGGCCACGGGCGCACTGGAGGCGGTACAGACGAGGCTGTACAGCGACGAGGTGGGGCGGTACGACAGCGCAAGATGCGGTGCAGCGGCGGCGCCATTGAGTGTGGGGCGGCACGGTGGCAGGCAGCAGCTGGCTGTGCCTCACGGGCTAGCTCGTCGCTCGCCGGCCGTGTCGAGCCCTGCGGCGCTGCCTGTACTGCCACTTTTGGTACCGCAGGAGCTGAAGACCAAGAAGCGGTACGGCCGGCTGCAGAAGGCCATGGGCGACTACTGCCTGCTGGCGGGCAGCCCCCTGGATGCTCAGGACCACTACAGCACAGGCGGGTGGAGGCAGGGGCAGGGTCTGGCAGATTCAGGAGCAGCCGTGGTGGACAGCATGTGTGCGTGGGCGCACACCGCTGCCGCTTTCAGTCGCCCTGCTGATGGACATCGCTTCTGCCGACGCTGCCGCTGCCTGCGCCGTGTCTTGCTCTGCAGCCGTGGAGCTGGGGCGTACCGCCCAGGACTGGATCTACCTGGGGGCGGCACTGGAGGGGTATGCAGCGGCCAAGGTGCTGCACGAAGCCATCACCCACGGCGCCTTTGCCATCAACCAGAGCAGGTGGCTGTGATGCAGTGCTTGGCGTGTCCGCATGTCCGCGTACATGCGGTGGTGGCGGCGTGGTTGTCCCGCCGTGCACACACTCACACACACACACACTGCCTCCGCTGATACCGCCGGTCGATTCCGTCACCCCACCATCACACACGCCCAGACACTCCACACACACGCAAACACATACGCTCCGTCCCTCTCCCCTGCAGCGTGTTTAATGACGAGGAGCAGTGGCGCACGCCCCGCAAGGAGACGCCCGTGGAGGGCGACGGCGAGAACGGCGGCAGCGTGTCTGGTGAGCGCACGCGCCTGCCTGCCTGCATGCATGCATGCGTGCTGGGTTGTGAGGCCCTGGCTTTGGTCACCGCACTTCACCCCACCCCACATCACACACGCACACACACACGCAAGCCCCGGCACCCTACCCACCCACCCGCCTGCCTCTCCACCCCGCAGAGGCCTCCCGCGGCAGCAGCGCGTTTGGCGGCGCGCAGTTCTGGGCGGCGCTGCGTGGGGTGGAGCGGCTGGAGGGCGAGGTGCGCAGCCTGTTTGCCGAGGCCAAGGCGTCCATACGGCGGCGGGGCGGCCAGCCGCTGCTGGTGGAAAGCGACCTCAAGCTGGCGCGCTTCGTGGCGGGCCTCCACGTGAGTGGCGCCTGGGGCTGCGGGATGTGGGGGGTGCTTTGTGGCGTGGCACGCACGCAGCCACTGTAAGCGCGTGTGGAACGCAGTCACGGGCATTGGTCTGGCAGTCACAGCCTGGACCACCAGCCTACGTGCCTTCCAATCGGCCTGCCTTCCAATGCATGCAACCTCCCTGCCTGCCCACCTGCCTGCCGCTGCCCCCTGCTTGCAGGGCGTGCTGGCTCGCCGCGAGGCATCCGAGGTGGTGTCCCAGCTGCTGCTGGCGGCTGAGGGGCTGGCCCTGCCTGAGGATCGGCTGCTGACGTTTGTGGAGGGGGCGCAGGTGCGTGCCGGCCCCTGGTGGGCATGGCGGCTGCAGCCGGCGCAGCGACGGCTCTCGGTGCCGCAGGGCGTGCCTGCAGGGGGTCGTGTGACGCCGGCAAGTGCCTGCCTCGCCTGGTGTGCCACCCTCATGTGCCTGCCGGCCTGGTGGCCCACCCACCCCCCTGGCGTCCGTAGGTGCTGGGGCTGGTGGGCAGCGCCCGCAAACGCGTGCTGCTGCTGTGGCAGGCGGTGGAGCTCAGCAAGTTCCTGGGCTTCCCCACCACCCGCACCCTGGACGTGGCGCGGTGGGTTGGGGCTGCGGGGACGCGTGGTGGAAGGCACAGGCACTCGGAAGGAAGGGGTTGCTCCGGTGCCACAATGCACCTGCGGCAAGGGCCTGCGTGGCCCGACTCTCCTGCTGTGTCCTCTCGGTGTCTCATCATGCTCCATTATCTTGCCTCCCCTGGCCCCCACCCCACCCCACCCCCAACCTCTCCCCCGCTTGCCCGTACCTTGTGCAGCAAGGCGCTGGAGCCTCCTGACGACCCTCAGGATGCGGAGGGCGAGGAGGCGCTGTGGGGCCGGAGCCGGGCGCTGTCGCAGAGCGCCGTCCCGCGCTCCTGGCCGCAAGTGCTGGCAGGCTGCCTGGAGGCTGTGCTCGGCCTGGCCATCTATGCCAAGCAGCATGCAGACGTGTGGGACGCGGCGGCGGCGCTGCTGCGGGAGCACTCAAGCGAGCTGTCGGCGCACCGGCAGCAGTCGCTGCTGGAAAACCTGCTGGCGGCGGCCAGCCAGCTGGCGGCGGCGGACAAGTGAGCCGTGCCTTGGGAGCCCGCTGGGATGGTTCCATCATCGGGTCCTTGGCTGGGAGGCGGCAGGGCGCAGCCTGGGGTCTCAACGGTCGCATGCCCCGCTGGGCTGTGTGGCTGGACGCGGGGATAAACGCAGAGGGGCGGAGGCGCATCACCGCTCCGGCACGTGGCCTCCTACCTCCCATTCCCACCTCTTCACCCTTCCACCTGCCCACCCTGACCTGCTTGCAGGGCGCGCCCCGGCCCCGGCCCGCCCCCGCTGCTGTACTTCCAGGCGCCGCGGCCGCCGCCGCTGGCGCAGCGCCCCGTGAGGTTCAGTGTCGGCCTGCGCCCGGCGCCCGGCAGCCTCACCGGCAGGCAGGGCAGCGGGCCCTTCCTGTACGACCCTTTCAGCGCCAAGAGGGAGCAGGCAAGCCAGGCCACGAAGCCTGGGGGTGCCCCTGCTGATGCACGTGTGGCTGAGCGGGCAGTTGGGCCCGCGCCCGGGCCGCCGCCGCTGCGCTGCAGGGGCTCCTGCCGAGGCTCCTGCCTCTTCTGCTCCTGCCCGCCTGCCCGCCTTGCCTGCCCTCCCCACACCCACCTTCTTTGGCACCTAAACCCCTGCCTGCCTGCCTGCCTGCCTGCCTGCCTGCCTGCCTCGCAGGCGGCCGCGGCCAAGAGCCTGGCTGTGTCGGCGGGCCCTGTGGAGTGGGTGTGTGGCGAGGTGGCCAGCGTGGAGGTGGAGGTGGCCAACCCCACGGCCGTGGGCATGCGGGTGAGAGGGCTGACCTCCTCAGGCTGGCAAGAAAAGGCGCAGCCTTTTCCTGGCGCGGTGCCATGTTCCGTCGGACCGTGTCGCGCTGGCGCTACCGCCCTGAATGCTGCCCGTCCATTGAGTATGCTGTCTTACGTTCATCCTATGCCTCTTCCCTTTCTTTCCTTTCCAATCCAAACCCCATGTCTAATACAGATCGACAAGCTGGTGCTGGAGGCCAGCTACCTCGGTGACGCCTCCATGGCACCCCGAGAATACATGACCATCACCTCCACCACGCAGGTGCGCAGCGCAGCGGGGGGGGCCTTCGAGCGGCAGCCGCCGGGCGGGGCGCAGGCGTCGCACAGCCGTTTGCGGCATGGGCTCCCCCCCCCCCTCCCCAGCTTGCTCTGCCCTGCCTCTCCCTGCACCCATCCCCCACTCCCGACCATCACCCCATGCAGCTTGCCTTGCCCTTGCCAACCACCACCACTGCCGTTGCTTGTTGTGGTTACAGTCTGCATACATACTGTATCTGCAAAGGAACGTGCGACACAGACCCCACCGGGGATCAGAGATCTACCAACCCCTTCCCGCGCACCCCTCCCTGCCCTGCCAGGCCGCCTGGAAGCCCAAGCCCGTCTCCCTGAACATCCCTGCCTCCACCAAGCCCGTGCGCATCATCCTGGAGGGCACTCCCCTGCTCAAGGGCATGCTGGTGCTGACGGGGTGCAGGTGGGATGGCATCTGGGCTTGGCTGGCTGGCCGCCTGGGCCCCAGCTGCTGCCTGCGCGCGTGCTGCCTGCGTGGACCGCTGCTGTGGCTGCCTGCACGCACTGCTTGCGCCGTCCCTGGCACCTGCTGCGCTGCCTCCTCTCGCCACCGCAACAGAAAACTTCAACCCCCAACCCCACACGGTCGCCAACCTGCAGGCTGACAGCCTTTGGCGGCGTGTCTTGGTTCCAGCCCTGGAGCCGGCCGCCCCCCAGCGTGGGGCAGCAGATGGCATACAGCCGGCGGGAGGCCGGCGGCGGCGGCGGCGGCGGCATGGAGCCTGCACCCTCTGGCTTCAGCGCCGTCAGCGGGGTCAGCGGCGTGGCCAACGGCGGCGGCGGCACCGCCGATGGTCCTGCCGCGGCGCCAGAGGCGCGGGTGGTTGTGGTGGATCCGCTGCCGCTGGTGCAGCTCAGCCTGCAGGCGGCGGAGGGGGTGCCGGACAGCCCGCAGGCCGGCGCGGCAGAGGGGCTGGGCATGCTGCCGCCGGGCGGCGAGGCCGCGGGCAGGCCGCACGCGCTGCGGCTGCTGCAGGGGCAGGCGTATGCCGCGCGGCTGACGGTCACCAACAACAGTCGTGCGCCCGTGGGCTGGGCCAGTGTCAGCGTGCGGTGAGTGGGATGGCTGCTAGGGCTGGAGGACTGGAAGGTCATGTATTTGCAGATTTGGGGGCGAAGCAAGGGCCTGCACACTCTGATGTCTGTGACGCAACACCCCATGGCCTCCTGCAGCTGCGCCCCTTGGTGCCCCGCTCCTCAGCTGCTTGCCCTGCCCTGCCTCCTCCTGGCTCTCGTCCGCCCCGCTGCTGCCGCCGCTGCAGGCAGAAGGAGCCCGCCAGCCGCCTGTCCATCTCGGTTGATGCCGCGGCGCTGCAGGCGCAGATGCCGCTGGCGGCGGGCCAGTCGTGCAGCGTGCCGCTCACCTTTGCCACCGGCGTGCGTGCCACGCATGCTGCCGAGGAGGTGCTGGCAGCCGAGGTGTGCCTGGAGTATGTAAGCCCCGAGGCAGCAGGCCCGCTGCTGCAAAACGGAGACGGCGGCAGCGGCGGCGCCGGCGAGCTTGGCGGCGGCGGCGGCGGCCAGTCGGCGCTGGGGCGGCACGCCGTGCTGCCTGTGGACCTGCACGTGCAGCCGTCGGTGCAGGTGGTGGCGGTGCAGTTCCGAGACGTCTACCTGCCGGCGACGAAGCGCGGCGCCGGGGCTGGTGCATGCAGCGGCGGCGACGGCGGCGGCGGCAACGGCAGCGGGGACGGCAACAGCGGCGGCGACATAGGCAACAGCAGCGGCGATGGCGGCACCGCCTTTGAGCGGCGATGCGTGATGGAGGTGGTTGTGTCCAACCGCGGCCGCTGGCCGCTGCAGGTGCGCAGGCGGCAGTGGGTGGGAGGCGTTGCGCCTCGGGCCGGCTTTCACCCACCAGCTGCTCGCGGCGTCAGACGCTTATTGCTCATGAAAATCGTGTGATGGGTTGCCTGCCTGCCTGCCTGCCTGTCTGCCTGCCCGCGGCTGCCGCGCAGGTCTGGCTGGGCCCCGGCACTCCTGACGGTGAGCAGCTGCTGGCTGCTGCCGCGCTGGATGCGCTGCTGCCGCCGGTGGTGCCCCCTGCGGCAGAGGGGCTGCCCACCAGCGGCTTGCTGCGGCCGGGCCGGCGCTGCACCGTGTCTTACATTCTAGACCCCTTAACCAGCGGCAGCGGCGGCGACGCAGACGCAGACGGCGGCGGCAGCGGCAGGCTGGGCAGGGGCGGCGGCGGCGGGGGCCTGCCCTCGCGCCCGCCCTTGAGCTTTGAGGAGCAGCAGCGGCAGGCGTGCGCGGAGCGGCTGTGCCGGGCGCTATCGTTGTTCTATCGGGTGGACGCTGACGAGGCGGGCTTGCCAGGTGTGTACCGCTGTACTGCTTGGTGTGTACTGCCTGTTGTGACCCTCTGCTGGTGTGGTAGGCAGACGATCTCACCACCTTCCCCTGGCCTGCCAGCTGGTGTGCCTGCCTGCCGATCCAGCGACTGCTTTCCCCAACCTGCCCACCCCTCTGCATGATCCTCATCCTCTCGTTTCCCCTGCCTGCCCGCCTGTGCAGAGTCTGGCGTGGGCATCGCGCCGCTGGTGCACGGCGAGGTGTACAACGGGCTGACGTACCGCAACCTGGCCCTGCTGGAGCCCTGCGCCCTCACCGTGCGGCTCACTGCGGAGCCTCACCAGCAGCAGCAGCAGCAGCAGCAGGAGGCGCAGGAGGAGGAGGAGCAGGAGGAGGAGGAGGAAGCAGAGAGCAGCGGCAAGCCGGCGCAGCAGCCCGTGCAGCTGGTGTCGCCCCCAGAGGCATCGGGGCACGCCGAGCAGCAGCAGCACGCGCAGCAGCAGCCGCACGGGCAGCAGCAGCAGGCGCAGTCGCCCTACGCCCGCTTCCCGGCGCTGGCGGCCGCGCTGGGCCAGCTGCTGAGCGTCACTGTGTGGGTGACCAACCATGGGATCGCCAGCGGCAGTGGCGGCGGCAGCGCAGGCGGCAGCAGCGGCGGCGACGGCGGTGCAGGGGCCGGTGGGGATGCTTCAGGCGGCGGCAGCGGTACTGCGGCAGGGCCTCTGGAGCTGCAGCTGGATGCGGCGCTGGCCTGCCTGCCGGTACGGGGCAGCGAGCAGGAGGAGGCTGCGGCAGGAGGAGCCGGGGTGGCGCCCGCCACGCATGGCGACCTGACCGCTGTGTGGAGCGGCCAGCTGTGGAGCAGCCTGCGCCTGACGGTGCCCGCCGGCCAGACCGTCAGCCGGCGGCTGGGGCTGTGCCTGCTGGCCCCGGGGCTCTACCAGCTCAGCCTGCAGCATTGGCGGTGCCGGCCCGCGGGGGAACGCGCGGCGGCGGCGGCCCAGCAGCAGCAGCAGCAGCAGCAGCAGCACAAGAAGAAGGCGGCGCCTGCGCCGCCGCCGGGCCCGCTGCTCAACACGATGGTGGCTGTGCACCCCTGCTTCGTGCTGGCGCAGTGACTATGCACGGCCTGCATGCCGCGCTCGGCGCTGCTGCTCTCGTGTAACTCGCTGCCGCCGGCGCCTGGGCTCGCTGGGGCCGGGGGGGTACCTACTTTACATGGCGAATCGGGAGGAATCAGGGGCTTTTCACAGGCGAATCAGGGGTTGGTCCAGGGGCGTTTGACAGATCGGGAAGGGAATCCAAGTGGGGTCTGGTGATAGTTTGGATGGGGGGAATACATTCGAGCTAGGCTACAGTCATGCTAGGCTACAGGAGTCCAGTGGGGTGAGGTGTCCGGTGCCCAGAGGGAGTGAAGCAACAGGGGGAGTAGCGGCGCATATTGGCGGCTGCACACAAGAAAGCAACAGGGAGGCGGGTGGCGGCGCACAATGGCGGCACGCCCATATAGCTCATACATCAGCAGCTTAGGTTTCTGGTTGTGCGTTCAAAAGGTTCAGAGAGGAAGGGTGCCAGGGATGAAGAAGGTTTGGAGAGAACAGGTGCAGGATAAAGAAGGCATGAGAGTGACCACAATGTGGGGAGAGGATAGGGAAGGAAAGAAGAAACCTGCGCGGCGGCGTGTCGGCGCCATGCGGCAGCATGTTGGCAGCCATAAGGCCAGCGTCTGGGGCAGCGCCAGCCACCCCAGCTGGCATCGGCAACGCTGCCATGAATGAGATCGGGGTCGGGCCAGCAGGGCGCCCGCGCTACTCGTCCTCAGTCTCCGTCTCAGTGACGGTCGCATCGCTGTCCTCGCCGCTGCCGTCGCTGGCCGCGGCAATGGCCAGGCGCCTGCCCTTGCCCTTGCCCTTGCCGCCGTCGCCGCCGCCGCCGCGGGAGGGGCGGCCCAGCGCCTTGAGGCTGGCTGCCACCTCGGTAATGTCCTGGGAGGAAAGCGCGGCAGCGTCGTACAGCTCAATCGGGAAGTTGGTCTGGGCCTGGGTGCCCTGCAGGGCGGGCACGGGTGCAAGGCAGCAGGAGCAGGAGCGGGCAGGTTGGGTGTGTCGCAGGCCGGGCGTGGCTGCGGCAGCCTTTGCATGCGTCCCGCACATGAGCCTGAGTGTGTGTTTGCTGCCGCCGCCTCCTGGCCTGCCTGCCGGCTCCAGCCGACATGTCCCCAGTCCCCGGCCCCGCCAGCCACCCCCAGCCCCACCCCCAGCCCACCCTCACAAAAAGGTATGAGAAAGGTAGTCCGGCTGCTGTTTCTTGTGGAGCAGAATCGGGCCAACAAGCCACCCCCAGCCTCGCGCTCACCAGCAGGCAGATGGCGCCCTGGTCGTACGCCCGCGCCGCCGCCTCCTCGCTGGCGTGCATGCCCAGGTAGTGGCGCTTGCGCTTGAAGGTCACCTGCGCCTGCCAGCGCCGGTTGTTGCCGCAAAGGCACACGCCCTGGTACCTGCGGTGCATGGACCAGGGCGGGAAGGGTGGCGCTGGGGGGTGCGCATGGTGGAGGAGGCAGGGCCGACACTGGTGCAGCTGAGGCAGGTCTGAGGCCAGGCAGAGCAGAGCACCCAAGCCCACCGTGAAGACTTGGCCACCGGGTGTAGCGCCGCAGCAGCAGCAGCCGCGCCCGCGCCCGCACCTGCCGCGGCGTGCGCCGGCTGCACCAGCTGCAGGCCGGCAGGCAGGCCAGCCGCAGCTGCGGCAGGGCCGCCATGCGGCAGCTGGGTGTTTGTGATGAGCTCGGAGCCAGAGGCAGCGCCAGCGCCAGCGGCAGCAGGCTGCTGCTCGCCCTCCCCCTCCTCCTCCTCCTCGTCTCCAGAGCTGTCGACGGCGCGGCGCCGCTGCTGCCTGCGCGGTGCCGCAGCGGCGGCGGCGGCGCCGGCGGCAGGGCTGGTGGGCTGCCCATCCTCCTTCAGCTGCTGCCTGGAGGCCTCTGCGGCGGGAGGAGGCAGCGGCAAGCGGTTGGCCGTGTGAGTGAGTGCAAATGGCCTCAAAAGGCAGCGCCCCTGGCTGGTTAGCAGGCTGACGAGAGTGTGGGGATGTCACTCCGGCAGGGCAGGCACTCTTGCGTGCTGCCTGCCCCAGGGACGCTGGGCCCCACCCTGACCCTGCCTCTCACCCCTGATCTGCTGGAGCACCTCCTCCAGAGAGCCGAGGGGAGCCAGCTGCGGCGCCTCCCCCGGCCGGTTGAGCGGCAGCAGCTGGCTCATCTGCCGGCGCGGCTGCTCCTGCTCCTCCTCCACCTCCTCCTCCTCCCCCTCATCGTCGCCGTCGCTGCCGTCGCCGCCGCGACGCCGCTTGCCGCCCTTCCTGCCGCTGTGCGGGCGGCGGCGGCGCCGCCGCGGCTGCCCGCTGCGTGCCGCCTTCTGCCGCACTATCTGCTTGTTACGCCAGGAGGCAACCAGGTCGTAAGCGCGCGCCGCCGCCTCCTCCTGCCGGTAGAATCCCAGCCTGCAGGAAGCAAGGGGGGTGCGGGGACAGGCAGGGCCTTCAGTCTCTTGAGCATTTGGAGCCAACACTGCTTGCTGGATGGGCGCAAGCGGGACATGGGAGCAGCGGGTGTGCAAAGGCATGGGCTGAGCAGGCAGGGCATGCAGGCAGAGGCATGCAGGACAGGCAGGCAAGGCATGCAGGACAGGCAGGCAGGAAGGCAGAGGCAGGAGGGGCAGGGGGGCGGGTGCCACCCACCTCTCCCGCTTGCCATTGATGGATATGGCGGCTTCCCACAGGCTGCGCCTCTTGCACCATGACACTCCCCTGCAGCCAGTCAGGCGGGCAGGCAGGCAGGCAGGCAGGCAGGTGGGTGGAGGAGGAGGAGCATGGCGCAGGTAGGCAGGCGGCCGCACAAGGCAGGCAGGCAGGCAGCCAGGTGGGTGGGTGGGTGGGTGGAGGAGGAGGCATCGTGCAAGCCAAACAAGGGCACTTGGGCGAAGACAGGGAGGCAGGAGAGGCAGGGGCTGCAGCAGGAGAGGCAGGAAGAGGGCAGCGCCAGGGCGGCGCCAGGTGCCAGGCGTCGGCAGCAGGCCTCTTGCCTGTAGGCAGATGTTTTCATGAGGTGGGGAGGCGTGTGCAGCAGGTAGCCGCCGCCTGGCAGCGCCACAGCCACCTGCGCTGCCGCCGGGGCCGCGCCGCCGCCGCCCAGGGCAAGCAGCGGCACCAGCCCGCCCGCGGCAGCTGCTGCTGCGGCAAGCGCGGGGGCTGCGGCAGAGGAGGGATCGCCGGCGGCGGCGGCGCCACCGGCCTGGCCCTGCAGCTGCTGCGGCGGCGTCTGCGGCAGCAGGCCGGGCGGCCGGAAGAGGCCGCCTGGCAGGAACAGGGGCAGCAGGCCGCCGTTGGCTGCCACACCAGACGGCAAGCCGGCGAACACGTATTCGCCGCCAGCCAGCCCTGCTGCCAACGCCGCGGCGGTGACGGCGGGAGATGCGGCCGGCACCGCGGCTGCCTGCTGCTCGTCAGCGCCGTCGGCGCCGGTCTGGCGGCGGCTGGTCCGGCGGCGGCGCTGCGGAGCGGCCTGCGCATCCTGCCCGCCCTCGCCCTCGCCCTGCCCTGCCTCGGCCTCGGCCTCGGCGCTGCGCTTACACCCGCAGCTGCGCGCGGCGGCGGCGGCGCGGGGCGGGGCCACGGCCTGCCGCCGCGCCTGGCTGGGGGGGCCGCCGCGCTTGCTCTGCGGCGGGCTGGGGCTGTCGCCTGCTCCGTCCACCTGCTGGCAGGCAGGCAGGCAGGCAGGCAGGCAGGCAGGCAAGGAAGGCAAGGCAGTGGGACACACAGGGGCGTACACCAGAGGTGCAGCCAGGGCAGGTCTGGCGGCAGCATCGCTCTGGGCCAGTCTGCTGTGCTGTAGCAAAGCGTATAGGCAGAGGGAAAAAAAGCGGTGCGGAGAGGCCAGGCGCAGCAGCAGCACCTGGCGCAGCTGCAGAGATGCCAGCCCGCCCTGCGCCTGAGCCAGCCCCAAAGCGGCAGCCGCCGCTGCGGCGTGCCGCGCCGCCGCCGCTGCGGCCGGCGTGGGGGCGGGAGCCTGGGCCTGAGCCGGCGCATCGGCGCCTCTGTTGCGGCGTGTGAACCGGCGCTGCGGGCCCTCGGCCGCTGCAGAGGGGGCTTCTGCCGCCGCCGCTGCTGCTGGCGTAGCTGCCGCTGCCGCCGACCTGGCAGCGGCCTGGCGCCACAGCTGCTCAAAAGTGGCGAGGACGCCGGCCGCGGGGCCCGCGCCGTGCGCGCCGCCGGCAGCCGCCGGGCCGGCGAGGCGCGCGCCTGAAGGCGGGGAGGCAGGCCACAGCAGGGCGCCCTGCTCGCGCCGCGCCTTGGACGGCTGCCGCGCCCGCTGGCTGCGCCGCTGGGCCTGCCCTTCAGAGCCCTCCTGCTCCCCAGCAGCGCCTGCCTGTGACGGGGGGTGGCTCACTGTGGGGGCCGGCAGAGGGCCGGCACAGTCCAGGGCTGCCAGGGCGGCAGCCGTGTCGGCATTTGCCTCCTCCTCCGCCTCCTCCCCGTGCTCCTGCTGCTGCCGCTGCTGGGCATGCAACGGCAGCGCGCCCCCAGGCGAGGGGCCCGCGCCGGCGGCGGCGGCCGCCGCCGCCAGGCCGGCGCCGCGCCCCGGAAGTTGAAGGGGCAGCTGGCCGGCGCTCTGCAGCTGGCTGACGCTCTGCAGTGCCGCCATGACCTCTGATAGCTGCTGCTGGCGGTACGCCAGGCTGGTGGGCGTGCCCGGCGGCGGCGGCGGCAGCCGCGGGTCCCTGCCTGCAACGCTGCTGCGCGTGCCGCCTGTCGGGCCGCTGGCAGCTGGCGCAGCCTGCGGCAGCAGAGCGGGGCGTGGGAGTGCAGGGGTGCCCTGGTGATGAAGCGATGCAGCAGCAGCGGCGAGCAGCAGCGGCGAGGCCGAGGCTCCTGCTCGCACCTGCGCCTGTTGGGAGACGGCTGGGGCGGCTGCCAGCCTGGCACCGGGCCCCTGCCCCTGCTGGCCGCTGGAGGCAGCGCCTGCGGGCAGGACGGGACGGGGCTTTGAGCAGGCATCAGGGCTCTGGCCGCCGGCTTCGGAAATGTGGCAGGCTGGCTCTGTAGTGCCCTGCCTGCCGCAGCCAGGCAGCAGGCACGCCTGAGCTCTAAAGGCCCCTCTGCGACACCCTCTCACCCAGCGTGGGCGCAGGCGTGCCGCGCAGCCAGCTGTCGTCAGGGCCGAACAGATCGTCCACCGACACAGGCTCCTCCCACTCCAGGCCGCCTGCAGAGGAAAGAAGAGGGAGAGGAGAGGCAGAAGCGAGGCAAAAGCTTGGGGAGGGGCGCACAGCGCGTGCGCTGGGCAGGAGGGTTCTGGCAGGGCCCAGGCTGCTGCCAGGATCCAGGGGCTGGCAGCGCCGTGGCAGTCGATGCTCCCGCGGAGGTTAGCTGCAACGGTTCAGCCGCACCTGGCATCTGTTCGGCTGCCGCCAGCGCCCGCCGCGCGGCCTTGTCCCCGGCTGCAGGCGCCGCTGCCATGCCAGGGACCAGCTCGTCGATGCCAAGCAGGCGGGCCGCCACCGCGGCCGCAGTGCCGTGCTGCCCCGCCTGGGCGGCGTAGGCCGGCTGGAGGTGAGCCTGCATCTGAGCTGGCAGGGCCGCACCACTGGAGGCCGCAGCAGCGGCGGCGGCGCCCGCTGCAGCTGCCGCTGCTGCCAAAGGCGCCTGGCGTGTGGGGGAGGGCCTGTGGGCTGCCGGGCCCGGCTGCACGGCGGCGCCGCCTGCAGCTGCTGCCGCCGCGCCAGGAGAGGCGCGCCTGCCTGGTGCAGCGCCCTGCCGCGGTGGGGAAGGGCGAGCGGGGGCCTCCCTGCGGGGCGGCTGGCAGACGGCGGCCTCGCCGCCGTCCCCCTGCGCCGGTTCTTCGCTGCTGTCGGTCCCCGGCTCGGCGTCAGGGCTGCTGCGGCCGCCGCCTGCCTCTGCCACCGGCATGAAGGCAAGCGCTGGCTGGCCGTGTCCTGCTGGCGCCGCGGCGGGCCGCACATAGGCGGCGGCAGGGCCGCCGCCTGGCATCCAGGCAGGCTCCGGCTGGCCGCTGCCGTAGAAGGAGGCCGCCGCCAGGTGGCCGCTGCCGCCGTACGCTAGGTTGCCTGGGTGCAGCAGCGGGGCGCCTGGCCAGCCCGGCAGGCTGCTCCCGGCAGGGCCCTGGGCGGCCATGTGGTTTGGAAAGTAAAACGCTGGGTGGTGGGGCAGGAGCGGCGGCTGCGGAGGGAGAACACCGGCGGCAGCAGCTGGGTGCGGCAGCCCCCAGAGGAGCCCCGCCTGTGCCAGGGCAGCCGTCTCCAGCAGCCCTGCAGGGGCAGCGGCCAGGGAGGGGGCGCCAAGGTTGTCATTGGCTGTTGGCGGCGGCAGGCGCTCGGGCGGGTGCTGGCGCAAGGTAGCGGGACCGCGGCCCCCAGGGCAACCCAGCCTGCTTGCAGGAGGGGCGCTTCTTCTCCCACAGGGAGCCAGGGATGCGGTGGAGTTGCCAGGCAGAGACAAGGTGCTCGTGAGCACGTGTGGGAGGGTAGGGCAGGTCTGCTGGGCTGCCCTCTCCCTGCCCCTGGGCCCAGCCGTGGCCCCTCACCTGCAGGGATGTAGAAAGCCCCGCCTCCGCAGCTCCACAGCGCTGCAGGCAGCCAGGGGAGGCCCGATGGTGCTGGTTTGGAGGCCAAATCTTGGTGGGGTGGATCGGGCAGGGAACGCGAGCTTTCGAATGACGAATGACGGCCAGCAGCAAAGGAGAGCAGGAGGCACCCACCTGCACCCACATCCTGCGCGGGCTCGACGTGCTCCATGGTCGAGCCGTCCCAAGCCCGCAGCCCAGCGCTCTCGCTAGGTTGCATTGCGTGCGTGTGCAGCTAGCAGGCACGCTCTCAGAGTGCTTTGCACCAGCGGCAGACGAGCAATGCAGCCCTCGCTGCTTGCAAGCTGGGGAGCGCTGCTCAATCCGCGCTCGGCAGCAGCGCCGTGCGCCCCATGCCTTCACTGAGCTTGCAGCTCTTGGAAAAGCGATGAGCAGGACAAGGGTGGACCAGAATGGCGCCTGTAAGCACTGGGAAATGCATGCATGGCCCGCCGCCCTGCTGTGCAGGTGGCGCCGCCGTGGGTTTTTGTTGGAGCAGGCAATGAGCAGCCACTGGGTCGCTGAAGTGGCTGCTGGCCACGGTGGGTGTGCTGTTGGATGCTGAATAGAACATACAACATCAACTAGTCCAGCAGTGCATTGGGGAAGGGGAGGGGGGACAGGGCCGCGTGCCTTGTCATTGGCGGCGGGACAGCCGCCTGTTGCCGTCTCCTGGAACCACCAGTCAATTTCGCTGGATTACAAGGCGCAGGCGCAATGATTGTACAGAGAGGAAAGCACACAACACACAACGAGGGGAGCAAACAACAGCAAAAGCAGACGCGAATCAAAGCTTCAGAACAGGCAGTGCGGCAAGGGAGCAAGACTAACCAGCCCGGGCAGAATATGAACATGCCGGCCGGCCTCACCCTCGCTGCTGCAGCGCAGGGCACCACAGCTGCTGGTGCGCCTGCTGGCGCGCCACGCTGACCACGCCGCCGCACAGCTGGCACACATAGCTGGCTCCCTCGGCCCGGCAGGCCAGCAGCTCAAGGTCATGAGGCTGTGCCGCCGGCCCGCCACCAGCAGGAGGCCCAGGCCCCGTGCCGCCCTCAATGTCCATCCCTGCGGGCCCGCCCTCGCTGCCGCCGCGAAAGCTTGCCTGCTGCTGCTGCTGCTGCTGGTGGTGGTAGAGAAGGCCGCTGGGGGCCTGAGGCGGCGCCTGCGGCCAGGAGCAAAGCAACGCGAAGAGAAGCCCATGAGCATGAGCCCAAGTGTGGAAAGAGAATGGGCGTTGCATTTGGCGCTGCTGGCGTTGGAAGCCGCAGGCCGCTTGCCTGTGGCACCTGCTGCAGGCTGATCAGCGAGAGCAGCCCCGCCAGCTCGTCGGCTGCGCCCGCGCTGGCGCTGCCCGCAGCCAGCGCTTGCTGCACCCTGCGGATGGCGGCAGGGAGGGCGCAGCAGGGTTGGCAGGCGTGGGGGCTCACCAGTGCCCCTTGCTGCCTGTGCATTATGCCGACAGCTGCTCACTCACTTGGCCACCGACTCGTTGGCTTCGCGCTCCAGGCCCGCTGCCCGCAATACATCTGCCACGACCTGCGGGAGGCACAGGTAGGCGGCGGGCGGCGGCGGCGGCAGTGAGGCAGCGGCGCCGCGCGGGTGTCGGGCGCGCTTCCAGACTCCCGGCCAGCGGCCTCCCGAGCCTACCTTGAGCGCCACCAGCGGCTGGCCCTCTGCCACCAGGCGGTGAGCAAGCGCCAAAGCCGCCTGGATGTCTGGGGGGTGATGAGAGGCTTCTGGGTGCTGCATGATTGCGGGGCTACGGGGCGGAGGCGCCAAGAGAGAGTCTGCTCGGGCCCGGCGGTACCTGGTGCAAGTACAGGTCGCTCCGAAATCACGCCAGGCCGGGGTGCCTGGCGCGCCTGGGCAACGCCGGGAACTGCCAGTGACCCTGTACCAGCCGTTGGCGCGTGTGGGAATGCAGTAGCGCAGGATGTCCGGAAATCCCCGCCGCTCCACGCGAATCCCGCGGCCTGGGGCGCAGTCCGCCGTCAAGCAGACGCCGCTGCAGCCGCTCAAGCAGCAGGTGGCCCTGCGGGAGGGAGTGGGCAACCACTGCAGCTGCGCCTGTCGCAGGCTGCCCCCACCTGCTTCCCTGTCTCTCAGCTTGCACGCAACCAACCGCGCCCCTCCCCGGCCGCCCGAACACGCAGGAGAACATCCCTGCCCCCGCCGCCGACACGCGCAAGCGCAAGGGCGTGAGCCCCGCCGGCAAGTCGGGGCCGCTGGCCAAGCGGCCCGCCAGCCGCGCCGCCACCACCGGCGCGCCGGCCTCTCGGCGCGGCGCGCCAGCCGCGGCAGCCCCGGCCTCGGCCTCGGCGCCGGCGCTGGCGGACGAGGGCCTCTGCTGGGAGGCTGTGGCGGAGGAGACGGGATGGAATGTGGAGGACTGCCTGGCCCACAAGATGTCCTTTGCCAAGCGGGCCGACCCAAAGGGGAAGGTGCAGGCGCTGGCGACGCACGTCAAGCGCCTGCGCGCCGCCGGCCGGCACCTGGCCGACGCCTGGCAGCACGCGGCGGCGCACGCCGAGGCGCTGGCCGGCCGCCTGGCGCGCGAGGAGGCGGCGCGGGGCGTGGAGCGCGAGGCGCACGACGCGGCGCTGCGCGGCGTGCAGGGCGAGCTGGGCGCGCTGGGCGAGGCCATGCGGCAGAGGGAGCAGGAGCTGGGGGAGCGGCAGGCGCAGGTGCGGCGAGGGTGTTCGTTGGGGAGCGGCGGCTGCATGTAGTTGGCGGTACTAATACTACATGCGTGTATGGGTGTTTGGGGGAAAGGTGGCGAGGGCCTTGGCGGGTAGGAGGGCCCCTGCATAGTGGAGGCAAGGAGAGGACGCCCTGGTGGTGCTGGCTGCTGGCTGTCCCGCCGTGCTCCACCGCTGTCCCTGGGCCCGGCTCGCCGCTGTGCCCTGCCGCGCGCCGCAGGTGGACACACTGTCGGCGGAGCTGGCTGCGGCGCGGGTCACCCTTGCTGAGGCGCAAGCAGCGGCGGCGCGGGCGGCGGCCGAGGGGCGGCGCCTCAAGGAGCAGGGCGAGGAGCTATCGGCCCAGAGCAAGGCGCTGAGCGAGATGCAGCAGCAGGCGCAGAGGTACAACGCCCAGCTTCAAGAGTACAATACCAAGATGCAGGGAGAGCTGCAGGTGGGGCTGGCCGGGCGGCGGCACGCGGCTGGGCAGGCAGCAGCAGCTGCGGCACGCGGGGGACCCGCCTCGGCTGCACTGCCCGGCCGGCGCCCTGGCGGGCAGGCGCTGGCGATGCGTGGCAGCACGTGGTGCCAGAAACGGCGGCGCGCTTTGCTGCACGGTTGATG